AGAAAGGACACATGGAAAAATGTTAATCAAGTAAGGGGACGATGAAGTGGTTTGGAATGTTTGCAAAATCCCTTTGTGCCCCCTGGAAAAAGGGGAGTCTCGTTGGAAGCAATTTGGGAAAAAAAGGAGACGTGGACGCCCAAAGGGAAAACCCTGGAAAGTCTAGCGGCGCGGGGGTTTTCGGCTGATTTTTAATCGCGTTTGCGTAGCCGAAAATTTTGGGGGGGATACAGGTCATAGGTCTGACACTACCGCTGCTAAACCTCATCGGAAAAGAACGATGCTATTCGGTGGGAGCGCGTGGTCACCCCCCCATACGTTTTCATGTCTGTAAGTTGAAAGTAAAGGTCGTATACGTTTGTATAAGTCTGCAGAAACGTCGAAATTGTCAACGGTCGTTTTTATCTCTGCTACTATCGTCTGGTGGCTTGGGGGCAAGTCGATGCGAACGTTTCGAAATCCCGGATGCCGGGTTCGATCCAGTGCGGGCCAGGGCCCTTGCGTAGTTTCGACGGGGTACAAAGAAACGCCCGGGAGGAACCAATGGCAAATACTGGACGTAAATTTCCCTAAAAAACCCACACAACAGCCGGGGGCTTTTGGGGTGGTTTTCCAAAGTCCTGTAAAAAAATACGAAAAACTTATTCTCGAAAGTTCGTCTTTTGAATTGTAAAAGTAACCTTTTTCCCCGCGATTTCGCTTGGCAAAAAGCCCGCTTTTTACATACCCTGAGCTTTGAAGTTTTTTTATGGCCCCATAATTTAGGACGCCTTTCGGAGGGAGCCTTTAAACCCAAGTCCAAGAGCTCAGTGCACGGCTTGTAAAAATGGGGGGATCCTGAAATCTTTTTGGGCAAATTTTGAACTCTAAATTTTCCCCTGGACAGCGCCTTTTGGTACTCTTTCGATTTCAAACGCAAAGGGAATCAACGCACCGGGGTCCCATCTCACTACGAGAGTAAGGCGAATAAAAACCCAAACCACGTGGGAACAAAACCCCCGAAGATGCCAGCGATCTATTTTATGCACGACGACGTGCGAGCAGCAAAGATTAACAACAATACTGGCTGGATGCGCGACCCTGCCATAATTTTCTGTCCGACCTAGTGGTAATTTTACAAGGCTGTACGCAAGATTTGCACCACTGTTGTTCAAGGTACGGTGTTATTTGTGTGGGTGTTTTGTGAAGCTAGAGACTGAATAGCTTTACATTCGAGAAGTAGGTTAGGGATTGTGTTAGCCAGCAAACAACCAACAAAACCGTGCTCGGATTAGTGCGAAGCAAGGGAAGCTACAGCTGTGTTCAAACGGGGAGGGTATATACTGGAAGCTATTGAATTTTGCAATGATGATGTTGTGTTTAGAAAATGTCGCAGGGTTTTCCGGTGTGCTTTAACAACAATAACAAAGTAAAACACTAGCCCCGAAATTTGTTCGTTTGTTGTGGTGTTGTTTTTCTTTCTAAGGCGGTTTATTTGTGAAAGTTTGGCACAGACTTCTGAACGATGTTTTTAATTTCAGTACTGTAGGAATAAACGCCACAGCAGGCAAGCGCTACTGTGACAAAAAATCCCCGCTAAAGACTAACCGAAATGGTGTATTTCAGGAATATATCACGTGATTACAGGGGGGGGGGGGGGGCGGTAGGAGAGGAGGGTGGGTTGCCGAGCGTTGGCAGCGTAAGAGACCCGCCTGGGGATCGTTAAGGTTGTGGGGTTCGCGTTTGGAAAGAGCTAGGGGGACTATTTCAAAACTGACATCAACACCCAGGCGGACCAAAGCTGTTAGTGTAGTGGTAAACAGGTGCAGTCATAGGAAGTCAAGGCGGTCGGCGTGATGCTGGCTATATCACTAACCAAGTGCCAATTAGTCTATAAAATTAAGGTCTGACAGTAAATTCCCAATACATCTAAAGGCGTGGAAAGGAAACCTTTCTTTATCTTTTATAACAGATGTAGATGTATTTAACCACGCGTGGGAGTAAAAATTAGCACAGTCACGCAGGTACACCCCCACGAAGTTATCATTTGGGAGTGGGGGTGGGGGGGGGGGACGTCTTAACCACACCACTCTTTCCAATCCCACTTTACAAATTTCTTAAAGAAAATATTGAGAGGGGCGCTCATCCGCCCACCCCTTCAACACCCAATAAAATAAAATAAGAAAACGTTTGTTAATCCCATAAGGTTGTGGGGGAGGGGGGGGGGGGCCGCCTCAGCCACGCCTTTTTCACTGCCTAGACAAAAATTGGTTAGGATTTCAGCCACGTCTTTGTCACAGCTGAGGCAAAAATTGAGTGGAGGCTCAGCCACGTCCTTTTGACCACCTAGGCAAATAATTGGGTGGATGCCTCAGTCAGGTCCTTCTCACAACCTAGGCAAAAAAGTTGGTGGGGGCTTCACCACGTCTTTTTCACCACCTAGGCAAAAATTGGATCGTGGCCTCAGGCAGGTCCTTCTCACCACCGAGGCAAAACCTTTTAAGGAACGCCCCCTCCGTCCTACTACCACCGCCACCACCATTTAGTAAAAAGACATCAGGGAACCACCAAATTATAAGCTTCTCACCACTTTACTAGGATTGTAGGCAAATAATCGCGAAGCGGATGAAAACTCTGGTCTTTGAGTATCTCCCTCCCACCACCCAACAAAAACAAAATAGAGGGGGGGGGGGGGGGGGTGAGCCCTTTGCCACCCAATAATATTGTAAGGGAGCTAAGATGCAGATATCTAAATTATCTTTTTAAATAACTGTCAATCACTGGCTTTATGTACCACTTATGTGGAGTAGGCAAGGGGGGGGAGGGGTCTTTGAGTCTGAGGATTTGAGGCCGCATGGCTAGTGCTGTCGTCACGACTGTGCAGGTGAGAATCTATGTTGCCCCTGAAAGAAAAAAATCACTAGCCTTACCGAGGATTCGAATCCGTGTCTCCCGCATGAAAGCCTAGCGTGAATACGCAGAATCAACTAGTATCGCCGAGACAGGCTAGTTTTTCCTTTCCCTGCATATTTTTTTCTGCAATCAGGCGGGGAAAAAAAACTGCATTTATGTACACTTTGCTACTTATTAGCAGTGGTGGTGGTTTAGACGGGAGGGTGAGAGGACAGGTTCTGTGGCCCCTGCAGTCAGGCATGAGTTGTACACGGGGTCTTCGTATAGTCTTGTCAACAAGGGACTGACAGTTAGCCTCGTGTCAGACACCTCAACAGGGGACTGACAGTTAGCCTCGTGACAGACACCTCAACAGGGGACTGATAGTTAGTCTCGGGATAGACACCTCAACAGGGGACTGACGTTTAGCCTCATGATAGACACCTGAACAGGGACTGACAGTTAGCCTCGTGACAGACACCTCAACAGGGGACTGACAGTTAGCCTCGTTATAGACACCTGAACAGGGACTGACAGTTAGCCTCGTGACAGACAGCTCAACAGGGGACTGACAGTTAGCCTCGTTATAGACACCTCAGCAGGGGACTGACAGTTAGCCTCGTGACAGACACCTCAACAGGGACTGACAGTTAGTCTTGTGATAGACACCGGGCAGACATAAGAATTTTCAGTTTTTGCACACACATAAGAACACATCATAAATTGATCTGCTGTTGAATAACATTGTCTTTTAATGTATTTAAATCAACAGTTGATTAAAATTATTTCCCTGCATTTCGCTTATCATTTGGATACATCTTTTGAATTTTCAGTTTCAAAAAAATATCACACACACACAACAGTGTCCTCTGCATTCAACTTGGTAATCTCAGCTTCAAGTTTACTGTCCAGATACCAACATGGGTGATTTTAGTTTCCTGGTTGGATTGAAAACCTTCGTAGATGGTGCAAAGAACCGTAATGATACAGAGTAAGTATTGCTTCGTTTGTAGTGATATGTTACTGATATAATTATTCTGCGTAGCGTGAATTGAATTGGACTGTCACAGATTGTCCAGCAGGGGAACCTACAGCAATAGCATTATAGGGCTAAGGCACGACTGGCTACAGCTAATGATTTCACCGGGTGGGGCTAACGATTCGTTAACGCAGCGGTTCTTTAATTGGGAGCTGAGGCACCCTGGGGTGCCGTGAGCGTATGACAGGGGTGCCGTCAGCGTGTGCCAGGGATGCCGCGGCAATAATCAAGAAAAGTCTTCTTAAAATTGTTTATATTAATAAAGAATAGATACTTGAAAGTTGAAATTTAAACTGTCTTCCTTCGTCAACGTCGAAAATAGTTTATTTCTTGTTTGAGAACCGCTGCGTTAACGCATAGTTAGCCCGAATCCGTGACGTCCGCAGTACCCCTTGTCAGCTGGAGCGGGTCGTGGCTGAGCAAAGCTGAGGTCTTTTGGATATGGTGATCTGGGGGAAACGATGATGGCGGGTTCAGTTCGCGGATAACAAAGCAGAGACTGACTTCCGCGATTGTGGATACATGAATCTGAAGATATATTGTCTATGAAAGCACATAGGGCTGGGTAATTGGTTTGAGAAAAAGAGCCTTTTAGGCGTGCCTGAGGAGAGAGCAACGTTTTAAAAAACATATACTGATTGACTTATTATAGGTACCCACACTCAGCATTTGTAGCACTGACCTTAGCTCCCAGATGGACCCAGTTCTGAAAGGTAAAGGAGGCCGGCGTGATGCTGCCGTCAGTAGCCCTCGTGTGCCGATTGATTTATGAAAATATGCGTAGCATCATATGCCCCTTTGGCTAAAAGGACAATTTGTTTTTAAAACCCTGCCGGTGCCTTTACCTTTAAAGCAATTTCCTGGCACCAATTGTATAATGAATCAACACGAGAGCCTATGGCCCTTTTAAGAATCTGACAGAAAGGAGTTTTCACTGTACGTCTATATGTGTGTGCTTGTATGAGTGTGTGTGTGTGTGTGTGTGTTATGGGTAATAACATGCATTAGGAGAATACTGAACATAAAGTGAGATGGATTCAATTGATGTAAAGAAATAAAAGAAATGTTCGAACAACCACCGGTAACAGTTACAGGACACAGAAGATGGCGCTATACTGGACATATCCTGAGAAGAAACGAGCAAAGAATCACAAATCAGGCACTGGAAGTAAAGGGATTGAGAAGGCGTAGATGTAAACAAAACAAAATAAAAACAAACAAAAAATAAGTGAACGTTGAGAGAGGCCAAATGTGCGGGACTGAATTCCAATTATATGGAAGGGCATGCACAGGATAATACCGGATGGTATAGACTACAATACCTGTGTAACATATTATGGCACAACAGGGCAGTTAGAGGATGATTATGACGACGACAACGATGATAATGATGATGATGGTGATGGATAATACAATTATGATGTGTACGTGATCGCGTGTGCGCTATAGAGCGGTCAGATTCCTAATTTAGTTAGTTCAACTCATGTTTTCAGGCCTAGAAAGAAGTGTGCCTTCCCCTACCATTCATTGCGCCGCCGCAACATAGGAAACGCCTTGCGACACGGCAAATTCATGAATGGTAAGGAAAGTCACTCTGTTTCTGGGCCAGAAAACGTGAGTTGTACCATTGAGTTTTCATAATATAATATACATAATATGTTGATCGTTTCTACTTTGGTAATTTTCAGGATAGAATGCTTTAGCAGCATAGACCACTACAAATTTTACCAATTCCTTCTGATACCAACTGTAAGTATGAACTGTCAAGAAATTTGTCACGTTATTTCACTGTTGACCCATAACTGGGAAGTGAGTGAGTGAGGAAAGTTGAACCGCACCTGGACCGCACACTGAGCGATTAACGCCGGGTGAAGCAAAGTGTCACTATTTGAATGAGAATCCTCCAGGTACAACTCCCATAAACCCCGTTCAACTGTAAGGCTATATCCAGGGTCCCGACTTACAAACTAATACACAATCCAGACATGGTAGAGCGGTTAACAACAAGCCGCTTGGCTTGCTTTGCATTAAAAAAAAAGTATCGTTTAACCCGCATCCCCAGACGGGCAGCTCTAGGTTATAATTGTGTCATATAAAATGGCTAAGCACTGCTCGCCGCCAGGTAGCCCTGAAAAAGACTATTGCAAATGTGATGAGATCAAAGGAGACAGATTCAAATACAATCCCGACCAGCGACGAAGTCGCCTACCGACCAGCCAGTGGGCGACACGTTCGCCGATGATGATGCTGGAAGTCGCGTCCTTGCGAAGTGATTAAATACACGGGTGGGTCTGAGGTGAGAGGTAAAATAAGCACAGGTAAAGGCCTTATTTCCACGCCTTAATGAGTGCTAGAGGTTAGGTTCACGTTAGTCTCCTCAAATAGAGTAGGCCACTTTTCATTCCCAAGTTTGTTGGGCTGGTTGACTTTCCTGAAGGTTACGGGTGTTTCCCACTCTGTTGTTTGGTTTCTGTGATGTCTTTCATTGACTTTTTCATTCTGAGAAAGAGTATGCATGTGACATAGGTTGCAGCGCTCTCTGGGGGTGTTGTGTTAGAGCCAGTTTCTTCATTTGCGTGTGTGTGTGGAGTGTTAAAAGCACTGGCGTGCTGAAATATTCAACACGCAATATCAACGGCATTGCAGAACACCTCGTAACCTTGCGCAAAGGTCACGGGGTACAGGAACTACCAATCAGAAGGGAGCTAGTGAGTATATGGGCGGGGTCTGGGAAGACTAACCTTACCTTTACCGTGCTGGACATGTATGGCGAGACTTATATTTCATAGACCTTACGAAACTCGGTGTGGTAAACATTACGCCAGCCGCTCGAAACTTATAAAGGTCACTTAAGACATTATGCCGTGTGATATGACGTGATGGGAATGGAGATGGCGCCTAGAACGGGCAGATTTCTAATGGCTGGAAGACAGAAAAACCCGGATTTCACGTTTTAGTAACAGACTCGCAAAGCATGATTCAGAAAATAGAAACTACCAGTATTGTGTGTTTTACTTGTAAAGACCATGTCACAATCATAAAAACTCCACACAATGTTCTTCATTGTAGTGCAATGACGCAAACTACAACAGAACCAAAACAACCAACGAATGCTGAGGTTTGTTCTGCAACGTCCCGTCAACTAACAGACAATGCATTGATCGACATTCATAGAAAGAAGTATAATGATAGAAGGACACAATAGACAACATCACTTGAACAACTGCCAGATTGTACTGTCGATCATTTTGCAGTGGTTGGAGTCTCTAAAGCGGTCGGGGCTGACGCAGAATAGTTTCATATTTATGCCATACTTTTAGGCAGGCAAGGAAACGAACAAGCTGATAGGCTTGCGGGAAAAGCTGCTGTGGAGGGTGGAGGAGTCATGGACCGGGTGAATATTCTGAATCCTCTACAAGAAGTAAGCCGTTTGCGAAAACCATGTGATGACTGTGAATGAACCATGACAAGATTGCGTGAACATCATGTTAAAACTGATGTGGCCAGACAAGAGCACTATGCAGGAAGCCAAAGAAGAATAAGAAACCAACACAGAACTGGTGTCGTGGGCTGCTACACGCTGTGGGATTTACTAAGGAGGCGTCCAATCAAGTATGGACTGAATGCTTCGATGTGTAATGAGGATATTTTGTCAACTAATTAATTATCTAACGAACTGACTGACTAACGCACTGACTGACTGACTGACGCACTGACTGACTGACAGACTGACTGAACTAACTAACTAACCAACCGACTGACTGACTGACTAACTAACTAACAGACTGACTAACTGACTGACTGACTGACTGACTGACTGACTGACTGACTGACTGACTGACTGACTGACCGACTAACTATCTATCTATCTAACTAACTAAGTAGCTAACTAACTAACTGAACTAACCGACTGACTAACTGACTGACTGACTGACTGACTGACTGACTGACTGACTGACTGACTGACTGACTGACTGACTGACTGACTGACTAACTAACTAACTAACTAACTAACTAACTAACTAACTAACTAACTAACTAACTAACTAACTAACTAACTAACTAACTAACTAACTAAGTAGCTAACTAACTAACTAAACTAACGAACAAAACAACTAACTAGCTAAACTCACTAAACTAACCAAATAAATAATAACAACAAAGTAATCTGGCCTGTATTTTATGTCTCTTAGATCGTGCTAACTCTAATGATGGCCTTGACTAAGCGTCGCAGAAACATGCTGTTGTCATTTCTTGATGGCCGACCAGGTCTAATCTTGTAAGTTTTGGGAAGAACTGACATTTATTAATTTAGTAATGTGTAACTTTTTTCCAGCACCCTTGTTTTTAACGGATGTTGTTATTCATCCTCGCGTTCACGTGCTGCAAACTCTGACAGAAAGTCCGAGCTGTTTATTTGGTTCTGGACTTTGGTCTTGATACCGGACTCGAGTGTTGCGTGTACATTCGTTTTATAAACGAGGCTTTTTTCCTTCTCAGACAGCGGTACTCGGAACGAAACGTGGATACTATTCACTCCTGCCAGGCTCCCGGTTGCGAAATGCTGCTATAGTGAGTTTCAGAAGTCGTACCCTCACAATTTAACATGTATCTCGAAAACCTCTGCACGCATAAACTCGAATTTGTGCACGTGGCCTTCGATTTCATATGTCCATGTGATTTCATAATTTACCATTGCACAGATGCTGCTGTTTTCTTTGAGCGGGGAGTTTCTGTGATATTTGACTAATAACAGAAACGTTGAATATACAGTAACTGACACACGCGGGGAGATTCTTTTGAAATCAGTTCACATGTGTAGCGATGCCTGATATGCTACAATGCATAATGATAATTAAACAGCCTATCCCCCAAAACAGCGCTAGAGCAGTCTTTCAAGCGGGAATGGAGAAGGCAGAATGGAGATTACAGACCAGAGAGTGACAGCATAAACAAACTAAACAGGAAAGAACAAACAACAATTTTTAGACTTCGGACTTGACACTGTGATCTTCGACCACACCTGTACAGGATAGGCATAAAAGAATTTGCTGCCTGTGATTGTGGAGCAGAAAGACAGACCCCTCGGCACATACTACAGTACTGCCCTTACCTCTCCCAGCAAAGACTGTGGATCTGGCCCAAGGGAGCCACATTGAAAGAGAAGCTATGGGGGACCGGTGGCGACCGTAAACGCACAATCCTATTTGTGACCCAGACGGGATTCAATGTTTAGCATGACTGATGTCGAACGCAGAAGAAGAAGAAGAAGAACCCTATCCCCCATACAAGGTTCGCCACGCCTAAGCCACAGCACCGACAAAGGATACGTAACTAACAATTTTTTTTTAAAGGAAATATTTCGTCGTGACGTTGGGAAAGTTAAAGGGGAATAAAGGCAGATGAGGACTGAAAGCGAAGATGCATGACAGTTTGATATCATGGCAAGGAAGATCATCTGCGTCAGAACTGGTTTAAAGATATGAATACAAACGCCGCGTGGTATGTACTATAAGAAGAAAATGGGTGAGGGAATGTGATTCTCAAAAGTTGACGATGGAAGGTATAATTGAAAAGACCAGATCGCGTTAACAATAAGCTTCCACATTCCGTTCATGAGATTTTAGGACCGTTTTTTCCCTTCAGAAAAAGGACCATTTCAACGCTTGCAGGTATATTGGGCACATTTTGCTAGACCTATATTTTATAGACCAATTGGCACTCGGTGCCTGATGTAGGCGACACTACGCCGGCCACATTTACTTCCCAAGACTATAACTGGTACCATTTAGGTTGGGTCAATATAAAAGTCACAGTCATTAAAAAAAAGAAAATTCTACTCAATGCGGATTTGAACCCAGGATCTTTAGCTTTTCGAAGCTAGTAGTACCAAAAGGGGAGAAAGACGTACAGCAAGAGGTAGAATGAACGAACGAACAAACTTTATTTTAAAAGGGTTACAAATTGGGCACACAGGCCCGTCTGACATTCGGCCCTTCTAAGCACTTATTTTTCAGAGTACCAATTCCTGTTATCAATAATGCATATCATTGATGTAATAAAGAAATATACATTATTGAATAATGCATACACACATCATGTGTACACAATCTTACACACTCAAACACACACACACACACACACACACACACACACACACACACACACACACGTATACATACTCTTACATTCTCATACATGCACACCCATACATAAATACACGCATCTACATACATACACAAACATAAAACACACACATATATACATAGACATACATGCAGAAACATAAAACACACACACATACATACATATATAGACATACATGCACAAACACAGTTCATACAGTTCACAAAAAAAAAAAAAAAAAGATGGGTAGATAACATCAGAGAAACTACAGAACGAGAATGTATCTTTGGTGGAAGCAGCCAGAAGAGCACGAAGCAGGATCTTATATCTCCCTCGAAACTCGAAGCTAAATAGGAGGACGTAAAAAAGGAGAAGAAGAGGCTAATAGTGAGAGGTTGTCGGTGTCTGTGGGGTTAGTCGTTGCGAACGAGCTTTGTAATGCCGTGGTGCCGGGTTCGATACCAGCTGCGTACGGTTTGTCTTGCGTTGGTTTCGACAGTGGTATCAAAAACTGACTGTTCAGGAGGCAGTGGCAAACTACTGAACCTAAAATTTACCTAGACAAACCACAACAGCAAAACAATGCTGGGGTTGGTTCTGCAACGTCCTGTAAAGGATACGCCACTCATCTTTAGTGAAAGAGTTACCCACAAAAATGGGCCTTATTTACAAATGTGTACACACCTGATTCACAGAGCCTCGTTGACCATAGTGCAGGAAAATTACTGGCATTCTTTAACGTCTGAACATAGACACGGACCGAGCCCATAAACTGTATCGTTACTCGACACATACTAAACGTCGTATTTGTCTGTAGAAAATGGTTGCTGAAGACAGCCCCCACCCCCACCCCAACTAACCACACCCCAAGAAAGACAGATGTAGCACTCATCACAACTTGTCTGTTACAGTCTTAGTCTTAGTCGAGCTTTCAACGTCATGACAATCGGGTTTCCCCATACTTGCTCCGTTCCTGTACCAGTGCAAATCAAATAAAATGTCCCCTACTCTCGCATTTGAAAAAAAAAAAAAATGATGAAAAAACCATTAGTCCCGGAATAGTCCAGAAATATGCGCACGCAGTAAATGCATGTGGCAGTTGCCAGAGGCGCTAAAGCTAACAGTCGATACCAGAGATGCAGGTTGTTGTTGATGGAAGTCTATTACAGTAGTGTTGGGAAAATGATGCATATAAAAGGTACAGATACTCCATACAACGGACAGGGAAAAAAAGAAGCCCTGGAAGAGTACATAGTTCCACGAAGAACAGGCAGTCATCGACGAGCAGGACGATGCACACTAGATATCAAGCATATGAAAGTAATGATGATGAGGATGATGATAGTAATGATGATGAGGATGATGATAGTAATGATAATAAGGATGATGATAGTAATGATGATAAGGATGATGATAGTAATGATGATGAGGATGTTGATTCTGATGATTATAGTAATGATGATGAGGATGATGATAGTAATGATGATGAGGATGATGATAGTAATGATGATGAGGATGATGATGGTAATGATGATGAGGATGATGATAGTAATGATGATGAGGATGATGATGGTAATGATGATGAGGATGATGATAGCAATGATGATAGTAATGATGATGAGGATGATGATGGTAATGATGATGGTAATGATGATGATGATGATGATAGTAATGATCATGAGGATGATGATAGTAATGATGATGAGGATGATGATGGTAATGATGATGAGGATGATGATAGTAATGATGATGAGGATGATTATAGTAATGATGATGATGATACTAATGACAATGATGATGAGGATGATAATGATGCTGTTGATGATAATAATGATAATTCTAACAATGATGATGAATTCATGACATTTACTTTCTTTCTGTCATCCTCCAACCTGACAGCCCCATGGACGCAATGACTCGATCTTCCCGAATCTCCTATTGTTGTGCGTTTGGGGCAGCAGCTTTCCTGGTCTATCAGATACTTCTGGACCACAAGGTGGCAATTGATTACCAGGGTCCGCTGATAATGAAGAGTGAGTGTCATCTAATACGTTGATTATGGCTAGAAACAATCATAGTTTCTTGTCTACCTGCCTACGTAAGCTGTCTGCTTGCCTGTTTGTTTGTTTGTCTGTCGATCAATCGACTGATCCACCCACCTATCCGTATTCATAACCATCACACCCCCCCCCCCCAACCTGCCCCTTCACCTGTTCATCTGAAGAATGTTGAAAGTTTTTTGGACATCTTAATTACAAGTATTCCAGATGTTTGGAAGAGGTTCAGACACGAAGACAGCCTATCATACAACTCCCCCCCCCCCAACCCCCACCCATTTCCCCCGGCCTTTCCCCACCCCACTAACAGAAACCATTTAAGAACGAGTCATCATGTTTGCATCAGTTTGGGGAGGGACGGGGAAGGGGGAGGGGGTACAAACATGAGGTGACAGTTGCAATATAAAGAAGATATGGAAGAATCAACCAGGAACATTTGGTCAGAACCTTTTGTCATAGCATCGATATCTCGGCGGCGAAGTGGTCAAGCCGTCTGCCTCACGCTAATGATGGTCATGGGTTTGTTTCACAGACGTTTCGTCTTGTTCATGTATGCAGTCCTATGGAGATCCTTGGAGACCGTCATTTAAGCTACGAAGTTCGTACTTTGTGCGATGATCTCGGCAGGGCCTAGTGGTTCTACGGAGTAGACCGATCTATTCGGGATACACCCAATGCAAAAACCCCGTCGACTGAAACTTTTAAATAAGTACCTAACTACTTCGCTACCTCATCTAAACTTTTCTCAATGCTGTTCTCACTTCTGCTGTCGTCTACAGTGGATTATAATTCTAGCGGCAGACAGGTGGCGTTGGCACTCTGGCGTTTGTCGTATGCATTTAATGCTGGTGTTGTCAGGACTACTGGCTGATTCAAATGTCGTGGGATATTCAATACATATGGTTTTCTTTGGCACAGGGACAGCGTAATTATGGTGCTACGTGTGTTGCCATGAAGTGGAAAGCGCGACTAGCCACTAACACCATACTGATTTCTGTAACGGCTTCACTTCTGTGACAAACTGATCACATTTGGGTCAGGCACACCAAGTAGTGACCAGAGGGTCAGCAAATTTTTTTCTACTCCATTTAGTCACTTGCTGGATTGATAGGCATACATAACTATACCAGACTTTCATTCGTCAAAGAATTTCCTTAGGTTTCACCATCTTAACTTATTTAAAAAAAAAAAAAAATGCTTTGGTGCATCTCAACACCGGGGCAGCCCTATTTTAAACTGTGATTATGACATCGCCGTGTTCATCTGCACCGTGATGTCACGTACTTGACATTCTTGACATCCTTAAAAACAATATTAATAGGTTACAAGACACACAAAAAATTGTTTTTCAAGAATTAGAAGGAGAAGATAAAGAAAAAGAGGAGGAGTAAAAGAAAGAAGGTGGAGGTGGAAATGTACATGTAAAGTAACGATGCTGTTAACACTTAAATACTTCCACATCTTCCAGCACTGATTGCTATCGTCTCGATGTTTATTTACGGAATGGTGTTTCTGCCCGTCTTCACAAGCCTGGCCCTTGGCACAGCCTTCTCCTACATCCTGGGTACACTTTATGTTTGGGTGTTGTCCGCTGTGGAAATATTTAGGGTCACAGAATGTGATTTTAACGCTGTAAGTATTCATCCCCCTTTTTGTTGTAATGTGCACAAGCGTTTGAAATATTAAACCATCTAGCGGCTTACTGAGCATATCCTAAATCTGTCTAACCGTGCACACTATCGAATACCAATACATTTATTACACTGTGAAACACACAGAAAAACCTTTTGTGTTGTTTACATTCCAGTGCAGCTCGAAGGTACTGAATGAGAACAGCAGGTAACAGGTCATAAGGCCGACCTAGAAAGAGATCAATGGAGTGAGTTATAGGAAAACTATACAAACGCAAAATGACATTAACACAAGCTACACAACCAGCAAAAGACAGGAAACGAAATCTAACTCCTCACTGCGACGCTTTACTGCATACGATGAAGTACAGAAGATTAGGGAGAAGAAGAAGGAGCAGAAGAAGAAGATGATGAAGAAGAAGAAGAAGAAAAGAAGTACAAGAAGAAGAAGAAGAAATAGAAAGAAGAAGAAGAAGAAGAAGAAGAAGAAGAAGAAGAAGAAGAAGAAGAAGAAGAAGAAGAAGAAGAAGAAGGAGGAGGAGGAGGGGGAGGAGGAGAAAAAGCATCCATTTTGGAGTCGTATTTGTACACTTTATATTTTCTATGACTGGTAGCGGTGGTTAACAGTACAGAGACCTACATAAGATGCAAAGCAAAGGTCTGTTGGAATTCTCGAATACAATCCCCCCCCCTTTTCCCCTTGTAGGTTCCAGAGGCCCGATTGTAAGAAAAGACCCCCAAATAAGCGTCTCATAAAAGTCGAATTATTTGGTTTTGGTTTAGTGGACAGATCAACATCATGGAACACGGGTGTAACCCATAAGTACTTCCTAATTAAAGGTGCTTCTTTCGAAGTATGAGTGTATTTGCCTGAGAGGCATGGAACCAACAGTCTGCATACATACAAGTCGAAACCCAATTTCTGGAACAAGACTAGCAGTAATTGTAACTGACCCACAGAGAATGTTGAGAGAAGTTAAAACGGGTATCCTCCATGCAGAGTGGCAAGCATTACTTCAGAGGTCCGCGGTGGTTGGCGTCATTTGGTTATTTTCTTCAGGTTATGCCAGTAAATATCTGAATCGTCAGATATAATGGCTGCTTCTGCACCACTTGGTGGTGATCTGATGCATGACACGCTAGATGTTGTGAGGGCCCTTTGGGAGCTAGTGAACAGTGCGAGGGCGCAAATAGATTATCACTGTTTACGCAGAATGCTGCTGCGAGGAATAAGTTACCAAGGGAACTGGCTGACGCTCAACACTCAAGGAAAAGGCGAAGCTGATGTATACAGTCAGCATGTTTCTGGTGACATCGGAATTGGATCTCTGCGCTTACTGCTGAAGACCGTGCGATTGTGGCAATGTCCCGAGTGCTATAGAGTCGATTCCTAACTCATCGTTCAACATTCCGAATTAACTATTGCCTATTTCTTATAAGTAGTTGGTTTGAAAGTAGTATTTTGTTTTTCCATAAGGGCAGGATTCATGTGTCATAGTAAAGTAAGTAAAGTAAATGACCCTTTTCCACACATTCAACCACATTAGGCATATAGGGCTAGATCTATATTTTATAGAACAATCGGCATTCAGTGGGTGATGTAGTCAACATCACGCCGGTCGCCTTTACTTCCCACGGCTCCAGCTGGTACCCTTTAAGGATGAATCGACCTAGGAGCTATGGTCATTTTTGAACAAAAAATGTTTTAAATGTGTACGAGTCAACTGTTATTCTTTTCCTGCAGGCAGGTCGAGCTGTTCTAGTGGTCCGTGCGCTACCAAGCTTGTTCTGTTTGACCTACCTCAGTATTTCAATGCCCGTCAAGTTCTGTCTTGCTTTGAAGGATAAACGTTACTTGAAGCCAAATCTGGGAGATGACCCTTACAATGAGACTGTCCAGCAGGTCAAGGAATCTTACCAAGGAAGATATGTGCGGAAACTTCTTCGGAAACCAAAGAAATTGGTGTAAGTCATCATCATCATCATCATCATCATCATCAAATGCCCTGCCATGTGACGCAGGGGTTTATGCATCCTTACAGAACTAGGTCTTTGGCATTCTAGATAAATTCCACTGATGATACTCCTCTGTGCCACTGACTTTAACCATCCACCATCATTTTTCTTGGTCTGCCTCTGACTCTTCTCCCCGCGTTCTTTCCAGTCGTAATGATATTTTCCAGTTGTCTTTTCTCGTCACTTGACCAAAGAACTTTGTCTGTATCCTTCTCATTGTTCTTTGCAATTGTCTACTATCTTCAGCCATTTCTAGCATAAAAGGAAACTATTAGCCACAAAATGGTAGGTAGGTAGTTGTAACCCCACCAGGACATCACACAAGCGACAAACACCCAGTGACACAATGTGACACACCACGGATGAGGATCACCCCTGGAGAGGTCCCATAAACCACAATTAGTTGTTAGGCCATATCTATGGCTAGGCCATATCCATGCCCCGGCAGAAGCTAAGATTGTGCTTTAAATAACAACACATTGCATCCCACATGGGGATGAGGCTATATGATAAATGAGATTAGTCTTCATCTTTGCGTTCACCAGCTGTAAACACTGGTGGCAAGTTCTGGTTGTTCGACCACTTCTGGATTGCAGTCCTGTTCCAGAACCGGAGTGATGCGTGTACATCCGTTTGACAGATCTGACACATTGGTGCACAGACTGTTGGTTCCCTGCCTCTCAGGAAGATGCACTCCGATTTAAAAGGAAGCTCCCAGTTAGTCGACTCTTACGACTTGCTTTATGTAGGCAGTGGGTCTGTTCTCTTTTTCTATATAACAAGGCCCCGGAATCCACACGAAGATAAATGAGATTATGAGAGGCGCTGAAAGGGTGTTCAGTCAACAATTTTTTATTTATCAAAACTAGCAACTGTCATAAATTTTTTTTCAACGATCCCACGTATTTTAAAATATAAAAAAGGGACATTTCGTAGCATCTAGATGTGAGTATGTTAAGCACCAGCAAGGAGATCAAAATTAGAATTGTGAGAGCATGCATCTATCCTGTAGCAACATACGGATGTGAGTCGTGGACTATCTCTCAGTCCTTAAGAAAGAGAATAGGGGCTTTTGAGCTGAAATGCTGTAGGAAGATTCTCAGAATATCTTGAACAAAGAAGAAGAGAAATACTGAAATTTTGAAAGATCTGAAAATCAAGGAAGATTGGCTAATAAACAGCATCTTGTCTCGGAAGTTGAAATATTTTGGTCACATCAAGCGCCACGACAAATTGAAAAAAATACAGTAGAAGGCATGGTACCAGGAAGGAGGGGCAGGGGCCGACCTACACGAAGATGGGCACAGGATATAAGTGACTCCTTGAGTATGAAAGTACATGAGGCGGGAGAACTGGCGACAGACCGAGTTTATTTCAGGCAGACTGTGATGAGAGCGATGTTCTGCAAAGGACCTGCTACATGATGATGAGATGTGAGCATATGGTACTGGTTTCTCTTAAATATTGTGTTTTTGAATATTGCTGTTAATTTTAGGGCTCCACAAGGAAGATTGCATTCTCTCGTGGCATGTCTGACAAAGACCCTGTTTTCATGCCTGTATCGCAGACAGCGTGGTGAGTATTCAGGCAAAGTGTCTTATCCTTCTTTTTTTCTTAAGCCTTGCATAGTTTTTGGCTTTTAGCCCCAAGTATATGTTTCTTTTACTCTTTCAGTATTAACTATTAGGAGTCGCCGTGGTGGAGCGGCTAGACGCTCGCCTGCTGATCGCTAGGCAGTGGGTTCGCTCCCTGGCTAACTAAAAAAAATTTCCTTGGCTCCCAGGTCGACCCAGCCTTGAGTGGGTACCGGGTGCAGTCCTGGGAAGTAAAGGTGGACGGTGTGATACTTATCACATCACCCATATTGTGCCGATTGGTCTATAAAATATAGATCTAGCCCTTTATGCCCTATAAGCCTAAAGGCGGGAAAAAGGAGTCATTTGCTTACTTTACTAGTATTAGCTATTGTTATATTCATCAATTTCTACGAGGACGCTTTGAAAAGTAATACATCCAGGGTCATAACTTTGTTAATATACATAATGTACACATGAAATAAACATTTTCAGAAAGCTTGGAATGTTCTTCTAGTAAGATGCCATTCTTTTTCAATAAAATCACGACTGCATTCCACACCCACTCCAGTGTGAAAACGGTTTTCAAAACCGCCAATCACTCGTTAATATTTGAAAAAAAAAAAAAAAAAATCACGAATCTAGAAACGCAGATCAACTGGAGTATCCTCATCAGAAGCATGTCTGTTCCCCTTAAGATGCAAATTTATCTTTAAGAACAGGAAAGTCTAAAGATACCGAATGGGGACTTATGCACCAAAGTATCGCCAAAGTTGAGACGCTCCAATGCTACCATTGTTAGTCTACTCGTGTGTGGGCGAGCATTGTCCTGTTAAAGAGCTGTGTGTTTGCCTGGACGAACATGCAGCAATATTTCTTTTCATTTCTGCAACGTTTCCACGTAGCGACCAGAGTTGATCCTATTGCCGCGGTTTAAATATGCAGCATGAGTTGAGTTGAGTTGATTCAAGAACTGACATCACAGCTTTCAGGGCATTCCCATAATCGCTCCGTCCCCATCTTCAGCAGCCAGGGAAGAGTTCCGATGCTAATGGTGCCAGTAGCATTCTAATTAAACATCCGTCTTGCCTTTCCTCTGAGCCTCGAGTATCTGCCAGAACCTCTTGTCACTCTCACCTTCATCAATCTCACCAGACTGTGGTGATCCATCTGCTACCCGAACCGTACTTGCTCTCCTACAAGGCACTAACCACGTCTGACTTATGCATCAGTATTCCACCAAACTGTGCAGAGCCAGGCAGTCTGTCCGCATTTCCTAAAACACCAGCGACTCCCGGTGACAAAATCCGGACAATACTTCTCCTGCACAAGTGAAGCATGACATCGATGATTTATTTCCATTTCTAGTGTTGCACTGTTTGTGTTGGCACCTCTGACAGCTGCATTAGGCATTTAATGTACGTGTTTGCTGCTTGATTTGCTGAGACTGCAGTTTGTGTCAGGTTTCCACAAGGGACACTGGTAGACATTGTGTGCCGTGAAGTTAGACCTGCGATTAGCTGTTTATCTGGTTACCCGTTTTTCGTAACTGTTTCAGGCTTCCGGTATCCTTCCAGACTGATGTCCGTGATGTTTGTTGCAGGCTGTGTTGTCTACGTTGTAAGTAATTGATACGTATTTTGGTGTATATTGTTATGAATTATAGTGAGACTAGCACAGAGTCGCCTGGTAAGGTACAGGCTGGGTATGCTCGAAATGAAAAAAAAAAAGCGAGCAGCGGTGGTATTTGAGTCTGAGGATTAAAGACTGCATGGCTAGTACAGTCGCCTTGAATATGCAAGCTAGAAAGAAAAAAAAAATTAAATTACCAAGCATTCCCCCCCCCCCCCCCCACCTCACCTCCCCCCCCCCCGAATTTCCCCGCATGAGAGTCCGGCGTTGCTAATGTTTCAACCAGCCACTCTACGTTTTTCTCCTTTTGTGGTGCACGCCTTGTATGCTGGACAACAGCAAGACAAAAGAGAAAAGATGCCATGGTAACGCTGAATATTAAGGGGGGGGGGGGGGGGGGGAATCCCTACATGGCATTTTTTTTCTGCAATTTATTACAAAAATCTGACTCTTCAGTGTTCGTTTTTGTAAAGTTCGGCATTCGTAGAGTAGATTACACACACGCTTTATGTAATTTGTAAACAAAAATACCACCCCACGCACTTTTTGAAGGGGGGAAAAAAAGTTTAAAAGTCAGTTTTGTCACAGTTCCATATTTCTGTTTGTTGTATGTGTAAAATCCTAAAATCTCATCTAATACAGAGACTAGAAACATGCAATCTGATGTAGATACTCCTGGTCTCTAGAATAGCGTAAAACTGGGAGATGCAAACTGAGAGATTGTTTCAGACTTAAACGTCAAATCTCAGCGCTCTTGCCTGCTCATTTATCTCAAAAGAAAGACTGAGATTTGACCTTTTAGTCTGAATCAATGCAGTTCATGTTATTTGAGCCCTGAATATGGTTTGTATCTCTCTGGTTAAGAGACTTTTATTCTGACCCAGTACCAGACGCAAAAGAAGTACAAAACGTGAGATGAAGTGTATAAGAAACAGTGCAGTTCATGTTATCTGAGCCCTGCATCTCTCTGGTTAAGAAAGAGGCTTTTATTCTGACCCAGTACCAGACGCAAAAGAAGTACAAAACGTGAGAAGTGTTTAAGAAATGATGTGGGAAAAACAAGAAGGGACAGAGTCACCAACAAAGCGAAAAAATAAGAACAATGGTAGGCACAGTATATGTAAATGATTTTGTAGAACATTAAAGAAGGAATTTATAAAAAAAAATAGCAAAAGAAATGTCACCAGGGGTCGACCAACACAGAAAATAAGTGACTGAATATAAAAGACAATGAGGCGGGAAAGCTGGCGAGAGACCGACTTTCTTTCAGGCACACCGTGATGAGAGCGACGTTCTGCAGAGGAATTACTACACGATGATGATCACAGAATGAAATGGTTTGGTCATCTGGTCAGAATAAACCAAAATCAGCAAGCAGCCAGGGCGTACTACACGAGAACAGCAGGTTACAAGTCAAGAGGCTGACCAAGAAGGAAATCTCCGGAGGGAACACAATCAGACGCTGTTGACATACAATATGACATAACCACAAGCTACACAACTGGCAAAAGACAGGAAACTAAACCCAGATCCTCTCTGCGACGTTTTATGGAATAAACAGTAGGACAAAAGAAGAAGAGGATAACTAAGTATAATCTTAAATGAGACTGTGCTACGGAGCTCTGATTTTATCTCGATTCCCAGAAACGCGGGATATGTGCGAGTTCAACAAGAACGGTCAATCAGCGAGTTCTTTGCAGAACGTTGCTCTCTTCGCAGCATGCATGAAAGTTTCTTTTTCTTTAGTCCGTTATCGAGCCCTATGCGCTTTCATAGCGTTTGCATCTTCAGTATCTTGTATCCACCTTCGCGAAGGTTGGCCTCTGACTCGTTTTCCGGAAATTCTACCTTCCTTCAACGTTCTTCCCTGACCAGCATGGCGCTTGACTCCAGAATACCTCAGCTTTCAGGAGAAGATGCTGTTTATGAGCCAGTTCTACATGCTGAGATCAGGCAGGATGTCAATCAACAAGACTGCTCACTGAATTTATAAAATAAAAATATTGGTGTATATATTTTTAATTAGTTGTAAATTTTTCAAGTGATTTTACAGCATCACAAACAGTATTAAAATTTCAGTCAGGTCTTTTTATTTTATGATAGCACGCAAATAGTACACAGTACCGGCACCTTTATTTAGACATCATTTTTTAATAAACACTGTCTGATGAGTGTCGATACCTTGTTTAGACACGTTGTGGGGGAGTACCGGCACTTTTGTTCTAGAGACAATTCACTGCATTCAATGTGATATTTACTGAATGCATATATTTCTGGATTGTTCCAGGACTAGTTTTTTGTTCGCCAGTTTTTCAAATACTACAGTGAGCAAAGTAAAAGTAAGTGAAGGATTCTTTTCCACGCCTTTTAGGCGTACTGGGTCTATAGGGCTAGACCTATAGTTTATAGACCAACGGCACAAAATTGGTGATGTTATCAGCATCACGTCGGCCTCCTTTACTTCCCAGGAAATACGACAGCGGGGGATATTTTCACTGGCACAGAAACGAAGCCAGTATGGGGAAACCCGATTGAGGTCATGTTGAAATCTCGATTAGGACTAATGTGATATTGAATTTCATTAAACATGTCGTAATAATTTTAAATGTATTTATCTACTGCAGTTCACTGTTGAAATTCTGGTTCAATTCGTCTCAACATTCAATGGACTTCTTGAAGATTTGGAACAACAAATTGACTCAGCTGATCCTGACGACCCGATAGAAACAGTTTATTTTGTTTATTATCTCACAGACATTATAAGAGGTAAGCCAAATAACTTGTATTATAATTTAGGGAAAAAAAGTGTATATTATAACACTTTGAAAATGTAGAACATTTCACATATCTTGTCAGTGTGGTGTCCCTATTGGGAGGGACAGAGGAAGACTGAACTAGGCTAGGGCTGCTTTTGGAAGGATGAGGCAAATCTGGAGGTCCAACAATTACTGCAGAGGAACGAAACTCCGACTCTAGAAGAGCATCATTTTACTAGTTCTTCTTTATGGAGCGCAAAGCTGGAGAATGACCAAAAAGGATGCACACAAGCTGTCCACCTTCCACCACACATGTCTACGTAGAATTATCAAAATTTTCTGGCCAGATACAATTTCAAACACTAAACTACTTCAAGCTACAAACCAAGAAACTTCAGACAGTATGATTACCAAGAGAAGATGGAAATGGCTTGGCCACGTTATGAGAATGATTTCTGATATACCTGCCAAAACAGCTCTCACATGGACACCAGAAGGAAAGAGAAAACAGGGGCCCCCAAAAACAACATGGAGACGAACGATGGAAAGTGACCTGAGTGCAGCATCTTTGACATGGAAAACTGCACTGAAGATTGCACAGGACAGGAAAGCATGGAAAGTCGTCTCTGAACCTCATGTGCCATTAGGCATAACGAGAACTGATGATTATAACACTAATATTTGGAACTTCATCATCAAGAATAACGTTAGAAAAATTAGACTTTTGCAATGGTGTCTTTCTCTTTTTATGATCCTCTGGCCCCGAGACGTGCTTGGATCAAATTTAAGGGCCTGTGATATCATTTAAAAAAAAAAAAAAAAAAAAACGAAAAACTGAACAGCAACGATTTTAGAAGGCAACTTATTTTTGCTATTCTCATATTTATAAATAATTCAACAGTTGTGTAATAGGACTATTAAAAAGTATTGTGCCTGTGGCAGACTTTCGAAAATAAAATGGATATGCAGATCTTAGCAAAAAATAATATCCACAATGAATATATCACACCAACCACGCAATGAAATTGACACCGAAAAGATTGAAACTGTTAATATTAAGGTTAAGTAATGAACAACAATTGCGACTGCACAAAAGAAGTCAGAAGAAGACTTGCTATAGTAATGCAGAGGTTAAACAGCATGAACTTATGTCATAGCACCAGCAAGCAAGTTAAAGTGAACATTCTGAGGTCACGCAACTTTCCCGTAGCAACTTGTGGATGCGAGTCTTGAACTCTCACTCAGTCTTTAAAGAACGAAATTGCAGCTATTGAACTGAAATGCTATATAAAGGTTCCTACTAGGGGAATCCAATAGAAAAGACGCAAATAGTTAAAAAAAAATGTAAAAAAAAAAAAAAAAATTTACTAATGACGATAACAACCTAAAAACCGTTTACCTTTTAAGACACACACTGTCCCTTTATTTTTAAACATAATTTCTATCAACATTGATGCACTTGTTCCATAGTTTTATTAGTCCTCCCAAACCTGCTACACAGAACTGCTTGCTCTATTAAGTACACTCGTCATTTTGTTTCTGTGTTGCGAATGCGCATGCAACAGCTAGCGCCACATAACGAAAGAAGTTTATTAGGTTATATGCTGCTGTCACCTAGTGACACCTTTAGAAACCACCAGCCACATTTTACTGCCATCCCATAACTATTTGTGACTTACATATTGACTCCTTCTTGAAAAATACCATGGACCAAGAGGGGAAAAAACAGTCTCATCCTGCATGTCCTGAAAATCAAGGAGAACTGGCTCGTAAACAGTATCCTCTCCCGAAATATACGTATTTTAGACCTGTTTAGCGCAGTGGTCGTCTGGAAAGCAGGGCTGCCAATGAGATTTTGGAAAAGAAAAAAAAAAAAACCAGCTTACATCAACAAAAACCCAAGCAATTTACAAAGAACACACACACACACACACACACACACACACACACACACACACACACACACACACACACACACACAGACAATAAAAAATATAAAAAACCTAGATTCTTTTAATGCACAAAATTTATAGTTACGAAACGAAACATTTATCACTTTTGTGTAAAGATATATTTAAAAAAAAACACCTTAGATATCCCCATGGCGTCATATAAAAACCCAGATCTGGGGGGGGGGGGGTGGTGGTGGAAGGAAGGATGGGATTTGTAATTAAAGTAAAGTACCCTCTTCCCCGCCTTCAGGCATACTGGAAATCGGTTCTTAATTTATAACGTACCCCAAACAGGAAATCCCCGTGGGAAATCCACGGCTGACCTGACAGTCCATTATTTCAAGGGGTGCAAGTGTGCTGTTGTGTGGTGCTTTTTTGAGTGTTCATCTAGTGTCTTCTAATCCTAACCCTAACCCTAACCCTAAACTTGGCTGTAGATAAATCGCGAGAAACTACAACCTGAACACCCTATAATTTATTGGGAATGTCTCCCGTGACGTTGTCGAGACGTCAGGGGTAAGTTATAAATTAAGTACCTGGAAATCTAGTGCTAGACTTACGTTTTACAGACCATCTGGCACTCAGTGGTTGATGTGGGTCAGTATCACACCAGCCACGTTTACTTCCCAGTTCTTTACCTGGTACATATTCAAGGCTTAGTCGACATGGGAGCTAAGGTAATTGTGAAAAAAGTCCGGTTCTGTTGGGATTTTGGAACTGCAACTTTCAGATATCTCCAGGCAAGATTCTAGCCGCTACACCACGACAGCTCCCAGAAAATAGTAGTTATGTGAACCAAATCTATTTTTTTAATGTTTGCCTTTCAGTGTCAGTGATAGTTTCCGTGATTGTGTCTGCAGCCATCAGCTTTGTCACCATGCTTCACATGATGGCCTCGTTTAGGTAAGCAGCATCTAGGTTAACTCATTCAGCACTTCAGTATGTGTCTTGATGACCATTTCCCTGTCCTAAATGTTAACCCATCGCTCTGTTTAAACCAGTGGGGTCGATGAGGGGCTACCCGCTGCGGAAAATTTCCTGTCATTCCCAGTGGCATTGCAAGGTAAGATGGTACCTGGTGCGGACAATTTTCGGTCATTCCCAGTGGCATTGCTAGTTAGGGTGGTACCTGGTGCGGAAAATTTCCGGTCATTCCCAGTGGCATTGCAAGGTAAGGTGGTGCCTGGTGCGGAAAATTTCCTGTTTACCTCCTCCCCCACCTCTTTCTCTCTCTCTCTCTCTCAGTCTCTCTCTCTCTCTCTCTCTCTCTCTCTCTCTCTCTCTCTCTCTCTCTCTCTCTCTCTCCATCTTTCTTTATTTTTCTTACTTCCCTAACCCCTCTATTTTTACAAACATAAATTACCATTTAGCGATTCCTCTCACTGATAACTCCATCTGCGGGGCACGCACCACCCCGCCCCCACCCCTTCCCCCGGCGCTACCCTGGCTAAGCCTCTGATTAAGACAGCTGTTTCTAAAGTCTCTGACAAATGTTTTTATTGAACTTTTGATGCAGACACATATACGGGTGATCCTCATCCGCATGGTGGCACTTTGTATGACCGAGTGTTAATCGCTTTGGTGATGTCCTGGTGGGGTGTGGTAAAACTACCTACCAGATATATATGCATGCAGTGGTAGCCGCACGCGGCGAAGGGGAAATTAGGATTAGTTTGTGATGTCTGGGGAACCATGATGGTCATAGCAGCTGCCGGCACAAAGGTCTTAGGTTCATCCTTCAAGTACCAGTACAACTATTAAAATAATGTCACTGCTATCTGTGTTACCATCGGAGTAGACAGAGAGTCGTGAGCCAGAAGATTTGGTTCCGCATGGCTAGTGCTGTCGCCACAGACTGGTCAGGTTAGGATGTATAATTTCACTTGCCGACAGAAGAACGCCAAAACCTTACCGGCGGTCTTCACATGAGAGCACTATGGTGTAACAGCCCAACCACAACTATTACTGCTGTTGCTACTTTAAGTGGGTAAAGCAGTTACTGTGACTTAAAGCTCTCTCAGTTAATAGTTTGCCCCCCCCCCCCCCCAATTCACCGACAACTCTTTCCCTTATTGAAGTAGTTGGGAGAAAAAAAAACAACACTTGAAAAGCAAATGAACACAGGAAACAAACACCATAATTAGGAAATGAACGCCATGGTAAACAGCACAGCTTAAAATTCCAACGCAGATGAAATAACTAAATCTAAATGAAAATAAATGAAAATCTATGAAATTTCAGCGTAACCATGCAATCGGAAAGTTTAAAAATGCAATCATAAGTATGCGAAATAGTCAAATTTAATTATCAAATGGTTTACCCATTTACTTTTTTTTTTTTTTTTTTAAATATTAAGGCAACATGGCTAGTGCTGTCACCACGACAGAGCAGATGAGGATATTATTTTAGTCCGGGGTAAAAGAAAATTAACTGCTGCTGATTCGAACCCAGGTCTCCCGCACAGGAACCCAGTGTTCTAACTATTCGACCAAGCAGCCACTTAATCGGATCAACGAAAAGAGAACTTAACTTATTAGAGATGTGTGTCCCTACTACTGTGTCGCGATTAAAACACAATTCAAAACCGCAGGCAATTGTTTTCTCGTAGACAGATACTCCAGATATATTAATGAAACGGCACAACAATAGAAATCGCACGTGTTTAACACGGTTAATGAAGTTATTGTCGCAGTCACTGTCTGCGCCGACGTCGAGATAGTCCTTGATTGCCCCCCCCCCCTCTTCCTCCCAATCGAAGGTTGTTTGAAAAAAAAAAAACAGAAAATAGAAATCGTGTTTAATATGGTTATTGTGGCAAATATAGAGATAGTCTTGTTTGCTGTACCACGACCTACTCTATGTATCAGAGAAGGCGTTGGCTGCACGTAACTCGCCGGCGAATGGTAACTACGGCGCATGCGCTATTACTAACGTGGCTATAATTAGAAATCACTAAAGGTATAAATATTAGTTTAGGATATTATGGCATAAATTGTGGTCACCTTTCTCTAACAGTGACAGGTTGAATTTCAAACCACGATGGTTCAAAATCCGGTATCAAAACAAACATATCCTAAAAATTTCAGCTAAATCGGTTTAGTAGTTTCCGAGTCTATAGGGGACAAACAAACACACAAACATTGATTTTTATATACATAGATAATGTGAAATACCACAAAGCGTCAAAAACTTTCTTTATCTTAAATATAACCTAGATGGATTTTACAGAATATCATTGATGAAATTATCACTACAACATTATATATATATATATATTAGATATCTATTCACATTAATGAATATATAAATAATGAAAAAAAAATGTAATTTCTTCCCTAGAATAAACTTGCTGGCGATGTACCGAAGAGACTACTCGCACATTCCTCCTCCTCATACAAAGAGTGCCACATCTTTGTGTGTAAGTAGAATTTTCATTGGATAAGAAAGGATGTACTGAAAAGACAATTTAATTGTTATATCTGTCCTTTGAGAGTACACTTGTGTTATAGGTATGCGAGAAAAATAGTTTTCGTCCCTATAGGAATTAAGGGGGGAAAAAAGGAGGGGAAAAAAATACAGAATTTACCCTATTACACCCCCCCCCCCCTCTTCACTTTTTTTTCCACCCTATCGCCCGTCATTACCTGTAAAAAAAAAAGGCATGGCATACAAATAAAAGGCAACAAAATTATGACTATAGAAAAAGAAGAAAAAAAAGAAAAAGAAGAAGAGGAAGAAAAAGAGAAAGAAAGAAAGAAGGAAAGAAAGAAAGAAAGAAAGAAAGAAAGAAAGAAAGAAAGAAAGAAAGAAAGAAAGAAAGAAAGAAAGAAAGAAACAAAGAAACAAAGAAAGAAACAAAGAAAGAAACAAAGAAAGAAAGAAAGAAAGAAAGAAAGAAAGAAAGAAAGAAAGAAAGAAAGAAAGAAACAAAGAAAGAAACAAAGAAAGAAAGACAGAAAAAGAAAGAAAGAAAGAAGAAGAGGAAGAAGAAGAAGAAGGAGGAGGAGGAGGAGGCAAGGAAAGAGTTCAATAATTTCCTAAACCACCCAAGTCACAAATCATCATGTGATTACTTATTCAGTCTAACCATTGATGTCAAACCAACGAACTGTTAATCTGTTTGTCTTTATTTTTCTTTTTTTCCCTCAATCTGGGCAGTTGTCATTAAGTTCCATGGCTTTTTTCTCCTCATACTTTGTCCAGAGAGGTTTTAAACTCATTGTGCGAAAAAGAAAATTAATAGTCTTCTGGTCTTCGTCAAAATTCATAGCCATCGAGTTTTTTTTTTTTTTTTGGCATTTAATGCCCGCTTTCAATCATCTCTGTGATTGGCCTTCTTTTCTCCTTTGATGGCTTCAAGTGTTTTTATGCTTGCTTGAATATTATCTCTCCACGGCCTTCTTGGTCTGCCTCGTGATCTTTTAGTTCTTTTATGTAGACAGTTTTTGTCTTTCTGTTATTCAGAAACTGTCTGTTAACTGTCTGTTATTGCTCTTTCTTCTTATGTTGTCCCACTGCCTATGCCGTAAAGCACAACAGAGAGAAGTTAGATGTTTGTAGGGGTCCATTTTGTCCTTGTTGGTAAATTCTCTCATTTTTTTTAGAAATAAGGACACCTACCAAACAAAAGTTATATGCGAGAGTCCGGATTAATGACATCGATTACTAATTATCATGTTTGCTTGAACAAATATAGTCATGCCAACTCTAGGCACACGTGCAGTTTGGCTTACGCTACCGGATGACGAAAGCGTGAAATCGTAGGTAGAGTTTTTGAGTACACGAAAAGAAGAGAAAGTTATTTAAGCTGTAAGCGAATGAGAAAGCTCAGTCTTGTTTTCGATTCGGTGAGAGCCCTCTTGTAGTGCTTGGAATACCTGAGTTCAATGTATCCTGAGATCAAGAAAACGTAGTCAAGCTGCCGGCCTCTTTGGCTGGTCAACTATAGCTATAGCTCCAAGACAATTTGGAATGGAGGAAAGTTTGTCTACTGAGCTGTGCAGTTTGTGAATGCTACTTTGGTAGTTGTGAAGGGCAATCGGGAGATATGCTGAGATCGTGCGAGATATATCCAGGTAAGGATGGGACGTAATTAGAAAGCACTTTGAAGAAGCTGTTACGCTAGACTGCAAATCTCTCTTTCATTGACCGAGAGGAACATCGTTGAAGCAATAAATATACACTTGTCAACAGTTTAGTGTTCTTAACGTTTGTTCGTGTTCAAGCTTGCTGTGTTAAAGTCTTTGGCAATGTACCTGTGCAGGCTACATAATTAGAGCCAAGAGAGTCATTTCAATGCAGTTTTTTGTTTTATCCTTGTTGTGTTAATGTCATATTACATTTTTGTAGTATCTCTTTTACTCTCTAATCTCTTGTTTTGTTGGCCTCTTGCCTTGTAGTCTGTTGTTCTCAGCAGTACGCTCCAGCTGTTCGCTATCTTTATTCCATTCTTACCAGATAACAAAATCTTTCGATTCTTTAATGTTTTATGAAATAATTAACCTCTTTCATCATGTAAATTATAATATAATATTTCTATGTGCTCTTTAGACCTGTCTGATTTTGTTTAACTCTTTCAATCCCATACAAAAACAGAAACACTATGAAACAAAAAGTTCATCACCCTTTTCTCTTGTCCTGTTTTGTCTTTCATCATCAGCTTTTAATTAAAGAGGCATTGGGTGCTAACCTTTGTGTATGCTATGTAGGTTTCATCTATCCATATCATGCGTGGTCGACCTCTAGTTTTGTTTCCATTACGTCTAAGTGACAGAGCTGTCTATGGTGCACTATCTGGTGGTGGTCGTGATACGTGTCTGAACCATTTGCTCTGTTGTCATTTTATTTTTTTATTTTTCTTCTGCTGCATTCATTGAGATGTAATTACGTTGTACCCGTTTTGAGCATAGATGTGATATTTGTGCCTTTCGGCCGACACATCTAACTTCTGCAGGCATTTGTTGATCGGGTTAACCTTTCCGATTTGATGTAGGTTAATACTGATTCTATCTTTCTTGATATCGTCATTTATGATCCTGTCAGATGTAGGATACGTCGTAGAAATTTAATTTATATTGTTTTGATGCTTCTTTTCTTTGCTGTTAGTGTCCATATTTGGCACGAGTAACACACAGTGGTGGTAAAAATTGTACCTTTACACCGTGTGTAATTGGGTAGCTAGCTTCTACTGACTGTCTGTTCCTTAACACCGTGTCTCATTGGATCACCAGCTTCTGCTGACTGTCTATTCCTTAACACCGTGTCTCATTGGATCACCAGCTTCTACTGACTGTCTGTTCCTTAACACCGTGTCTCATTGGATCACCAGCTTCTGCTGACTGTCTGTCCCTTAACACCGTGTGTCACTTTGTCACCAACTTCTGGTAACTGTCTGTCGCTTAACACAGTGTGTCATTGGGTCACCAGCTTCTGCTGGCTGTCTGTCCCTTAACACAGTGTGTCATTGGATCACCAGCTTCTGCTGTCTGTCTCTTAACACAGTGTGTCATTGGATCACAAGCTTCTGCTGACTGTCTGTCCCTTAACACCGTGTGTCATTGGGTCACCAGCTTCTGCTGTCTGTCTCTTAACACAGTGTGTCATTGGGTCACCAGCTTCTGCTGTCTGTCTCTTAATACCGTGTGTCATTGGATCACCAGCTTCTGCTGACTGTCTGTCCCTTAACACCGTGTGTCATTGGGTCACCAGCTTCTGCTGAGGGTGTGATCAGCTTCCTCTACTTCTGTTTGTCAAATACAATGGACGTGATGATTTTATGTCCGAGACCTGTCACTTTGTCAAAATTCAGACAGAAGTGGTTAGATCAGTAGTTGTGATACAAGATGTCAGCATAACCCATTTTTATAATAGAAGACAGCAAATCAGTATATTAGCTTTGCAATTACCAAGAAACATATGGTGAGCTGTCTGGTAATAAAAAAGTTTAAAGGCTGATTTAGTCGTAACTATATATATATCTATCTGCTTTTTTTTTAGACTGGAAGTATTAAATATGGAGGCTTCCAAGTGGCTTATATTGTGTGGGGTAAGTTTATAAGCACAACTATTCTAATTAACTAAACAACTTCAATTATTTGCATGGCTTTCGCCATTAAACAAAAAAAAAAAAAAAAAAAACCAAACAAAAAAAAAAGCGAAAGGTGTAGGTACTCACCACAAAGTGTCTAAAAGAGGTGCTGCTCCTCACCAAAAATCCCTGTTTGCTTCTGTTAATACCTACGGCTGTGTACCATATTCTTGTAGGTACATCATGCTAGCGAATGTGCAAAAGGAATTACAAATGAAATGTTACTAAAAAGCTTAACGAAACGGAGAAGCAGAAAAACAAGTACAAAACAAGGTTTTGGCCGGTGGCCTTTTTCAAACAAGTAATACTTAATATTGCGGCGTCCGTGGCTAAGGCGTTGCGAGTCCGACTCGTGAGCCAGCATACCGCGATCGAAACCCACTGCTGGCTGCGTGGATTTTTGTCGTGGTATGGGACGTCGCAGGTCGACCCAGCCTAAAATGGGTACCAGGATGGGGCTGTCCTGGGAAAGTAAAGACAGCCGGCGTAATGCTGACCACATTACCCACAGAGTGCTGATGGTCTGTAAAAAATATGGGACGCTCTGCCCATACGCCCGATGCGCCGAAAGGCGTGAAAAGGGAACTTTACTTTACCTATACTTAATATTAGTTTGACTGTAGTCACTCCTATATTTTCACAACTTTTTGGATTAGAAACAATGCAGAATGACCCAGGAAGTCTTTAAAATGTTAACAGAAATAAAAAGAAAAAGTAACTGCTGATGTTATTCATACAGATTTAATCATGATAAAGGATGATTTACAAAACTTTTTTTTTTTTTAAATACAGATTACAAAAAAAAAAAAAAAAAAAAAAAATGATATGCTACTTGCACCATCGCGATTTGTCCCTATATGGGTTTCGGGTCACAGAGATGGGTGCAGGGTGAGAAGAGTTGGGGGTGTTGGGGTGAGTGGGGAAAGGGGGGGGGGGTGTGGCAGATGAGACCCACTGCCCCCTTTCAGGCATATCGTAAACGAAGTCGACTAATTAGGTGCGTTTCCTTTGAAGTCGGTGTACATCCGCCTGAGAGGCAAGGAACCACCAGTCTGCATACAAATAAGCCAGATCTGTAAAACGGATGTACACGTGAGACTCAAGGTCTAGAACTTGACTTAAGACTAGAAGTAAACAGACAACTAGAACTTTTTGACGGCGCTTACAGCCGGTGATCGCGACGACGAAGACGATTGTTATCATAACTATCACTGGGAAGGCTAACGCAGTCAACAAATGCCTGCAGAAGTCGGATGTTTAGGCCGAAACACGCCATTACTGAAGCCATGCTGTAAACTGACACAACGTAATTACATTTTCTGATGAACGCAGAAGAAGAAGAAGAAGAAGAAGAAGAAAGAAGAAAGAAGAAAGAAGCAAGAAGCAAGAAGCAAGAAGCAAGAAGCAAGAAGAAAGAAGAAAGAAGAAAGAAGAAAGAAAGAAAGAAGAAGAAGAAGAAGAAGAAGAAGAAGGAGGAGGAGGAGAAGGAGGAGCAAAAGAAGAAGAAGAAGGAGGAGGAGGAGAAGAAGTAGAAGGAGAAGATGAAGAAAAAGAAAAAAAAAAGAAAAAAGAAAAAAATATACCATAACCAAAAATGCCTAAATAAACTACACAACTTCCAACCAGGTCTAACTTATCTGTTTTCCCCCCTCACAGCATTTGCAATTACTAGTTTTCTCCTATTCATCGTTTGTATGACATTGGCTGGCTGCATCGTTCTACTGATGTTTGGAGTCAGTGATTGGCTGGTCAACTTACTCTCCCAACTCTGGTTAGTAGTTTTTCTATTTTAAATAGTTATAATCAACAAGTCATGCACTGACATATAATTTAGAAGATTATCTGGGTACATGGAGTGTGTATGTGAGAGCGGAGGGATGGTGTGAGGGGATGTGAGTGACAGCAAGCGTAGAGTAAGACGATTTGAGTTATAACAATGTATATGTGTATGTGCATGCATACCGGGGATTTATCAATTCAAATGTTGTTGTTGTTAACAAAGTATGCGATATGTCATGTGTAGTCACTAAGTGTCCTGAGATGGGGACCTAACTGACTCAATGTGTAGTTGTGAATAGAGAGCGAAGTGTGAACTCTGTTGAGCAGTAGTTGCCCCTTGTTGAGTATGAGTGAAGTATGGCCACAAAATTAAGATTTCTCACTTTAAGTGTGAGTGAATGCAAACTGAAATTTGTTAATAGTGAGTGGCGTGTGGACTCGAGGTGTCATCTTGAGAGGGAGTGAATATTAACTTCAGATGTCTCACTGTGAATGTGAGTTAATACTTTAGTGTCAATTATTTAGTGTGGATGAAGTGTGGACTTAAGGTCTCCCATGCTTAAAATGAATGGATATGGTCATCCTCCTGTGGATGCAATTTTTCGTTATATTGAAGCCCTACTCTGGCTTTTGCCATGGGTCGCAATATAGTCGGGCTTTAAATATGGCCTAGCGGCCAAACGCAATTTCCGGGACCTCTCCATAGGTGATCCTCACCCGCATTGTGGCACTTTGTGTCATCGGGTGTTGATCGCTTGTGTGATGTCCTTGTGGGGGTAAAATCTAATACTACTAATAGTAATGGCTGAACGCGGTTTCCGCGACCTCTCCACGGGTGATCCTCATCCGCATGGTGGCACTTTGTGTCATCGGGTATTTATCGCTCTGTGTGATGTCCTGAAGGAGTGACATGTACTGTGCAGTGAGTGGAGTATCAGCTCAAGGTTTCTTATGCACAATGAACTTGATCACAAACTGTCCCATGTTGAGAGTGTTTGAAGCCTGAACAAAGAAACCGTGAGCAAGAACCCAGATGTGCGTAATAACAGTGCTCGTTCAAAGCCCATTAGATGATATCTTTTAATGTATTATTATATTACCCTGCTCGCAAACACATTTGGCTAAACCTGACTGCGCGGGGACAGGGTGACGAACTCCTTGTGGTCCAGGTTCACGCCAGGGGGTAGGCAGAAAAGCCACATTTCTCCCATATTTTTGGTATCTATCATGAAATTAAGACCAAAGGGTTGCAATATCTATAGGACCGAGACAAAGGGTTTACAACTCATGGTTTCTGGATACTTTAAAAAAAAACCCTAATCAGACGGTTACTGGTGCCATCAGAATTAGGACTCTTAGCTTGCTGCTGAAGATGGGGACGGAGCATTTATAAGAGTGTTCCGAGTGCTGTGGTGTCGATTCTTGATTCAACATTATTTTAGGATTGGCTGCTCAAGAACCAAGATTCTGTAAGAAAAATTAGACGTATTTTCTTGAAAGATTTGTACAAGTCTTTTTCAGCTATCTCGGGTCATGTGCTCAATCCACTGTGGGCCATAAACTGTGATGTCATTTCAAGGTCTTAAATGTTTTCCCGAAGCTTGGTTGTCAGGTCTACTGAGTGTGGCCACTTGTTGCTTCGCGGCTGCTCTAGGAAAGGAGTCTTGCAATACATTTTCTGGAGTCTGTTCATCACAAAGAAAAAGAATTGTTCTGGAGTCTGTTCGTCACGAATACCCTTACAGAGAGCTATTTGGCCCATACCTAATTTATATGAGTGTTTGTTGAGTCTGCAGTATCCAGTGTGTAAGCGGAAAAACTGTTACTTGGTCTCTTCTGTTCAGGTGTTTAGTGAAATAATTTTCATGGTTATAACTGTGTTAGTTTTCCAATAAAAATTTTGCCCACAAGCGAATTGGTTCCATAAGAGAACTAAGGTTCCTCTGTATTTGTATTTATAAAATGTGAGTCTTGTGTATTTTATCGGTATTTTTAAAACAGGAACTAATACCATATATGTCCAACACACAGGCCAGGTATAGTGTCTGCCATATGTCTATCTGTGGGGCAGGGGCTTCTAGCCAAGTACGTGTTCCTGCAGGACAGAGGGCAGCACTTACGTCTCGACAACAGGTATAGTTGCATCCGTCTGTTTTCATTATGTTGACCTTTGATAAAATCATGTTGTAAAAGCTTAGTTTTGTAATAATTGTCTTAACACGGTGGTCTCCAGACTAAGGGAAGGGATGCGGCGGGGTAGGGGAGGGGGAGGGGAGGCGCCCGTAAGGAGGTTTCAAGGGGGAAGTCAAGTTATTTGGAAAGTAAGCGTATTCCTGCTTGCAGTAATTAGTTAAATGTACAGTCTGTTTTAGTTTAGTAATATATAAAAATCGTTTTTTTTTTTTTTAAAACTGTTTATTCAACAAAACGACAAGGATATTTTTGTTTTCATTAGCAGTTTGTAGATCTACGGTTGAAAATTTAATTACTTGTGATAACACAGGTATTTAATTATAGAATAAGAACAAATCTGGCCAAAACATATCTCCATACTTTCTGTTTCACTTATTGCATAATCTATGGCCCTCCTCTTTTTAATCACATTTTGCTAAGCTGGGGTTTGGGGGAGTGGCACAAGGACATGGGGGTCTTGCAATAAACTTAAAAAAAAAAAAAAAAAAGAATTAAAGGGGGGAGGGGTAGGGGTTTTGTAATTTACTCAAGGAGGTGGGAAATTAAAAAAAAAAATATATATATATATATTTCGAAACCACTTTTTAACGATAGTAATAATTCCAGGGTGTAGTGTTTTAGGTGGAAAGCTGTTTTTTTTTCCCTTTCCTATCTTTGTATGCAATTTCTTCTCTTCTTCTTCTTAACGTTCACAGGATGTTAACTCCAGCAGAACATTCTGATTGCTCGTCCACTTTTGGACTTTGGTTTTGTTCCAAAACTTAAGTTTCGCATGTAAATCCGTTTTACAGATCTGACTTATCTGTATGAAGACAGATCCTCACCTTTGAGGCAAATACACTCCGACTTGGTAGGATACACCCTAGTTTTTCGCCTATTATAATAAGCTTGTTAGAGGGCAAGGGGTCTTTTCTTTTACCCCTGAAAATGGGTCCTCTGAACCCACACGGAGAGATTTGCACTTTAAATTTGCGCACGCTAAAATTGTAAAAATCATTTTTACCGATCAGCTAGCATATAAGTTCCCAGTTAGAAAAGACTCATAAGTAAAGTGCAGATCCCTTTTTCTATATTTAGGCACATCGGGCATATGGGAAGAGCACCCATATTTTTACAGTCCAATCGGCACTAGGTGGGTAATGTGGTCAGCATTACGCCGGCCGTCTTTACTTACCCAGGACATACATCCTTGTACCCATTTTACGACCCATACTATGATACAAATCCACGTAGCCAGCAGTGGGTTTCGATCGCAGTACTTTGGAATTACGAGTCTGACTCGCAACGCCTAAGTCACGAACGCCAGATAAGACTCATGGCAACTCTAATTTGTGAAAACCTACCATGACCTCTTAATTTTTAATAGGGATATTTTAAAACAAAGAGTAAATTAATTTTAATCCATTTCCACCCCCTCGAAAAACAGATTGTTATGTTTTTTGTGTGTGCATGATATCATGAACCCCTGAAATGTTTCTGCAGAGCCCATAGGATACAATGCTCTAGAAGATTTTTTTTAAATCTAAGTTCATGTCTGTTTTCTCGGCCCCACCTATTTCCACACCATAGGCTATATGTCCTGTGTCAATATTGGTGCTAGCCTAAACATGCCTCTTTTTCTTAGAATCTGGCTTCCATTACGCGCGCCACGGATTGGAAGGTCGTGGGTTCGCTCCCTTGCAAAGACGGACTTTTCTTCAAAAATGACCTTGGCTCCCAGGTCGACCCAGCCTTGAGTGGGTACCGGGTGCAATCCCGGGAAGTAGAGGCGGCCGGCGTGATGCTGACCACATCACCCATCTTGTGCCGTTGGTCTATAAAAATATAGGTCTAGCCCTATATGCCCTAAACGCCTAAAGGCGTGGAAAGGGTCCTTTACTTTTTTTTACTGGCTTCCATTTGTTTTCTTTCTAAATCCTTTTCAAAAAACAGTGATGAAAATGCATTTCAATTTGTATGTAGTTTAAAAATATGTTTCTGCAGACTTCATAATTATTGATATAGTCTGATATATTTTTACCTAACTATTATCATTATCGTCATCCCATAACACTACGTGTCGTTGGGTCTCCAGTTTCTGTTGACTGATTATCTCTCTCCACCTTTTGCGGTCAATTGCGATGGACTTCATGGTTGCATGCTTAAGGCCTATCAGTCATTCAGGTTTTGTAACCAGGTCTTGTGGGGTCTGCCTCTCTTCTCTTTCCCTCTACTGAGCCCTGCAGTATTTTTTTTTTTTTGAGAGGCTGTTAGATCTTATTACATGTCCATACCATTGCATTTGTCGCCTTTTCACTGTAGTTAATAATAAAGGTTCATAGTTGCTAATTCCCCTAACCATACAATGCAAATAATAGTGTTTTTTAAAGCACAACAGATAAATTGGTCTGGCCATCTGATGAGTATGGCATCAGATCAGCTGCCATAGAGAGCTACGCTAAAGAAATATAATAAACACAGATCGAGGGAAAGACAACACAGCATATGGAACGATGGAATCAAGAATGGCTTTGAATTATAAAGCTCAACTTATGCAATGCATTGGAAGAAGCTCAAGAAGATTCTTACACCTACCACAACCCTTCACCTTCTTTTCCCCACAAACACTTCAGTGCAGTGACTGGAGAAAGATAAAAAGAAGGAGGAGGAGGAGAAGAAGAAGAAGAAGAAGAAGAAGAAGAAGAAGAAGAAGAAGAAGAAGAAGAAGAAGAAGAAGAAGAAGAAGAAGAAGAAGAAGAAAAAGAGAAGAAGAAGAAGAAGAAGAAGAAGAAGAAGAAGAAGAAGAAGAAGAAGAAGAAGAAGAAGAAGATGAAGAAGAAAAAGATAACGAATAAGAAGAAGAAAAAGAAGGAGGAGGAAGAGGAGGAGAAGAAAAGGAAGAGGAAAAAGAAAAAATACGAACAATAATAAATATAATAATGATAATAATAAAATGATAAAAAGAAGAAGAAGACACAATGAGAATTATTTCTTTTTCCATCATATGTCTTTTCCTGATTTCTCTAGGCGTTTCTACTTTGTGTTTGTGTACTTCATGTTCTTCTACAACATCTTCCTGGGTCTCTTCTCGTGTTTGATGAGGATCATCAAAGCCATGGCTGTGGGAGCAGTCTTCCTGTCCAGACTGGACAACAGTACACTTCCTCGCAAGTTTGAGTTCTTGGATCCTGGTCAGTTTTTGTTATCTCCTTAATTTGAACACTAACTATGAAACAAAGAAAGAGCTTAAAGTTTTCAAGTGGCACGTTTTTTAACTGGCTGACAGAAAGCTAGCCTAAAAACTAATGAGGAGCAGACCCTTATTGATTCGTTGTTCCCTAAGGTTCCCGTGTGGGTTCCGGGGCCCCATTGTAGAGAAAAAGAATAGACCCATTGCCTGCCCATACAGCATGTCCTAAGAGTCGATTAATTGCGAGCTTCCATTAAAGTCAGAATACATTTGCCTGAGGGGCATGGAACCAATAGTCTGCATGCAAATGCGTCAGATCTGTGAAACGGATGTACACGCAACACTCAGGTTCTGGAACAGGACTGGAGTCCAGAAGTGGATGAACAACCAGAACTTTCCGCTGGAGTTTGCAGCTGGTGAACGCGAAGAAGAAGAAGATCCCGAGGTATTCTTTTGTGTAGCTGGTAAAATTTCACTACTTGCATTACAAAGATTATGAATGTTGAAATTGTGACATTATATTTTTTCCGTTAGCTATATGTTGTTGTTGTTATTGTTGTTGTTTTAGTTTGTTTTAGTAGTATATAATGCATCTTATTCCCGGAATGTGAAAGTGAAAAGGCAAAAGAACAGGCGGGCTGATTGGTTGCTGGAGGTGTTAAGGTATCTGGGGAAAGACAGTCAATTCTCCGTGTGTTTGTGTCTCCGAGTGTATCTGTGTGTGTTTGTGTCTGCGTGTGTTTGTGCAAATGTGTCTGTGTGTGTCTGCGTGTGTGTATGCTGGTTTGTGTGTGTCGCATGTGTGTGTCTGTGTCTGTGTGTCTGTGTGTGTGTAACTGCGTGAGTGATTGGGTATGTGCGCGTATGTCTGTTTGTGTGTATGTGTCTGCATTTGTTTCTGTGGGTGTGTCTCTGTGTTTATATCTGTATATTTGTATGTGTGTGGAATATGCGTGTCTGTGTGGATATGTAGCTATGTATGTGGGGGAATGGGTTGTGTTTATGTGTGTGTGTGAAGGTATGTGGATGTGTTTAAGTGAGTGCGTATCTGTGTGGGTATGTAGCTTTGTATGTGGGTGAATGGGGGGTGTTTATGTGTGTGTGAAGGTATGTGGGTGTGTTTAAGTTAGTGTATGGGTGTGTGTGTGTGTGTGTGTGTGTGTGTGTGTGTGTGTGTGTGTGTGTGTGTGTGCATGCATTTTACCACCCATGCTATTGTGCTTTTTTTTCTCCTTTTTTTTTTTGATATTCATAATAAGCATATTATCATATAAATATTACATGCTTATTGATAAAATACAGCTGCAGTGTGAAAGACGGGTGTTTGGAAGGGCTGAATGTAAGACGGGCCTGCGGGCCTAATTTGTAACCCTATGAAAATAAAGTTCGTTGGTTCGTTCGTTCGTCTAGGTTTTATCTGGGCTCATCACAGCTCTGGTCTTTCTTTTCTTGTTGTAAAACGTTAGTATGAACACATCAGATGACAAACACGCCTATCGGCAGTTATTGATTTTATTAGCAGATCTAACAACTGTTCTGTTTTGGAGCCACGTTAGCGCTGTCGAAAGGAGGCTCGCTTTCAAATCTAGCTAGCTGAGACTACTGCAGCCACGGTCGGTGTTCGAAACCGGGCGGTTCCCGGGGTTCACCCAGCCTTTAGGACATGGGTATGAGAATGGCACTCTGGGGTAAATTGAGGAACGTCGCTGTAACTGCAGACTTACGTATGGACGGCGAGACAGGCAGACAGTTTCTTATCAGCTATCCATACCGGTGGCAGAGCACCTATAGTTTATAACCGGGTGCAATGACGCTGGTTTGCAACTGTACTGTCCGGTCTGCGAACGCTTCGCAATGCCGGGTTCAATCCCAGCTGCGGGCCATGCGCTTTGCGTTGGTTTCGACAGTGGTATCAAGAAAGCCGACCGCCCATAAAGTAATGGCAAACTACTAGACGTGGGAGTCGCCGTGGCAGAGCGGCTAGACGCGCGCCGCGGATCGGAAGGTCGTGGGTTCGCTCCCTGGCGGAGACGGACTTTTCTTCAAAAATGATTTTGGCTCCCAGGTCGACCCAGCCTTGAGTGGGTACCGGGTGCAATCCCGGGAAGTAGAGGAGGCCGGCGTGATGCTGACCACATCACCCATCTTGTGCCGTTGGTCTATAAAAATATAGGTCTAGCCCTATATGCCCTATACGCCTAAAGGCGTGGAAAGGGTCCTTTACTATTTTTACTTTACTTACTAGACGTAAATTTGCCTAGAAAAACCGCACAATAGCCAGGGGCTGTTGGGGCTGGTTTTGCAACGTTCTGTAAAGGATACATAACTAACCTTCAACTGTCCGGTCACTGTTCTGTGTTTTCGTCAATAATACAAGAGCCCAATTACAAGTTCTGCTTCAGAAACATCAAAACTCGAATCTAGATGCAGTTACCTTTCAGACTGTACACCTCGTTCATGCCGGCCGCTTGCATTTGCAATTCCACACAGCAGAATCTAGCAGAATCTTGCAGTCGTTTGACATTCGCTCACATCGACATCGCTATGTATCTCAACGTCCCAGACAATCTCCTACACGTAGTCAGTCAATCTGCATTCTTCACAGTCGTTCCTCTTCCTTCGACCGCTCACAACATCAACTGATTCTCGGTCCTTTCTCCCCTTTAAAAGTTCGTTCCAATCTGATGCTTACTACTTACCACAGTACATAAAAACGCGAAATACACTGAAAAACATCATTTACCGGCGTCCCTCGCTTCATGTGGTCTTCTGACCTTCTACGTCATCCGTGACGTTATCCGGGGGGGGGGGGGGGGAGGGGTGTTCCCTGGGTTTCCCGTCATTACAGTCTAGATAATATTCAATGTACAAGAACTTATGCACTATTAAAAACATTTTTAATGTACAAGACGATGTTTTTCCCAATTTTCCAAGTTTAAAATTGGGAGTGGTCACATGAAATATGTTTAAAATTTTGATTTTGTAATTTTGAGCTAGAAAAATAGAAGTCATCTTGAAAACACGGGAGCGTTTTGTTGATGGAAACTTGTGGTAACTCAACATCAAAATGGAAGTCTTTTGAAGATGATGAATTCATGCCTAGAAATGTACTAAGTACAGTGGTGTCATTTCTTTCTTCATTTCTTCAAACCCTAACCTTGTCTGCCTCAAGCAACAAGTCTTGATTCACAGGCTCTTCTCAATGAATCCCATTCATCATCCTTGTAGAATACGTTTTCTTATTTTATTTTCGTTAGGTCAGAATAAACAAAGAAATCTGGCTTCTTCAGTATGGGCTTTAACCACTTATGTTTTACACAAGCGATTGTACTTCTTCCTCAGGTAATGGTGAGAGGATCGATTATATTATCTTCTTTTCTAAGGCGTTCTAGAAAGTTACCCTTGTAGAATTGTTGTAATGTTCAGTGTGTTTTAAAGAAAGATTGCTACAGTACATTTGTTTTTGCATCGTTTCAAAAACACAATGACATGTGCTAACTTTCACACGATTGACAATTTAATAGAGTCAGTGGTTTCTAGTAGTAGCCACAATATAATTTATTTTACAATTTTCATTTAAATTACGTTTTAGACTTTGTGTGTATGACTACGCGGGCATGTGTGTGCATAATTGTACTTTTAATTAGTTCTTTTAAATTATGTATTAGTAACAAGAATCATTAATGGTATGTTTCCTTGAATGTGGCCAGGTTTTTCTGCATATCAGGGTTACATTCATATGGAAGCAGCACACACGCACCCTGTGGTCAATGTGTTTATACGACTTCTGATGGCACTGAGTCAGTCTAAAAAGATGCACAAATCTGAAGACAATGATGTGGAAATGTCTTTCCTGCCAGAGACTGTTGAAAATGATGCTGAAATTGGTGCCAATGAAAGTAAGTATAACACATGCAGTCAACACGGTGCTAACAGTTTACATCATCATCATTATCATGTAGAAGGTCCTTTTGCAGACCGTTGCTTTCATCACGGTCTGCCTGAAAGGAACTCGGGATCTCGCCAGCTCTCCCATTCCATGTACTTTCATACTCAAAAAGTCACTTATATCCCGTGCCCATCTTCGCGTCGGTCGGCCCCTGCCCCTCCTTCCTGTACCAAGTCTTCTGCTATAATTTTTTTCGAATCCGTCGTGGCGCTTGATATGACCAAAATATTTCAGCTTTCGAGAAATGATGCTGTCTATTAGCCAATCTTCCTTGATGTTCAGATCTTTCAAGATGTCAGTGTTTCTTCTCTTCTTTGTCCAAGATATTATGAGAATCTTTCTTTAGCATTTTAGCTCGAAAGCTTCTGTTCTCTTTCTTAAGGACTGGTCCACGACTCACATCCTTATGTTGCTACAGGAAAAAAAAATGCTCTCAAAATTCTAATTATGATCTCCATACTTGTCATCAATAAAATAGTGATGAATAAAACATGATTAGCAAGCAATCTTTGAAGTTATTGATTATAAAACTTCAGTTCTACACATTTCAAAAGCAAGGGTAATCCCATAGTAAATTCACATCAGCTGTAGCAAAGCAAACCAAGTAATTGGAAAGCTGTCTCCCACCCCATCCTCCGTCAGGACAAGAAGAGATATTTGGAACGGGCCTTTCTTTTCGCTTAACTCTTTGAGTCCCAAGGGGTTTAGCATCAGAGGCCCAAGGGGTAGTCGAAAGAGATGTAAAATCGGCGCATCATGCGTTTATTGGGTCTTTATGTAGGAACCTATGAACGTATGATGCGTTCCTTGGAACTCAGAGAGATAAAGAAATTTTCAGTGTCTCTGATATTTCTGCGGTCCATGTTCTGCGTGGTGAGCCTCTGGTTCTGTTACCGTTGTATATGTATAACACCGATCTTTGTGATTCCCTGTCTGGTGCCAGTCTTGTTACATGGCCAAACCGTTTGATTTGTTATCTGCCTATAAAGTTAAGCACTGGTTCTGAGCCGACTCTTCTCCTACCATCATTCCTAAGTCAGTCGTTCCTCGTTACACCTAGCATAGTATGTAAACATTTTATTTTTATCGTGACCACTTTCCTTCTGTCTTCTAAAGGCCGTTTCCGTATTTAACACTGATAGCATAGGTTTGGTAAGAATAGTGTGTTAGAAAGTGTTCTTTTAGTATTCATACTTACATTTCAGAATTGGTGCCATTTGGTCTAAAACTTGACTGACTTTATTGCTTCCTTTTACAGTTACAGCATAAGACACTCCTGATAAGCGTTAGGCAAGCATATTTGTAGTATACTTGAAAATTATTAAACAGCTGTGCGGTTGTAGAAACAATATTTTGTATGTCTTTCTATAAAAGTCAATCAATTCACGTCTATTTGTTTATTATATATGTATATGTATGTACAAACAAACGCTATACATTTTGAAAATGAAAACTTTTATTTATATATTTATACACTTTAACGAGAAATGTTTTTATAAATAAGTACACACACACACATACACAGAAATATATATATATATAAATTGATACACTTCTCGTTGAAGTTTTTAAATAAATGCTTTCATTTTCATTACACACACACACACATATATATATATATATAAGTGTGTGTTTGTGAATATGTGTGTATGTGTTAGTGTGTGTGTGTGTGTGTACTTATATATTTAAACATTTCTCGGTGAAGTTGATAAATATATAAATAAAAGTTTTCATTTTCATTATAAATATATGTGTGTGTGCGCGCTCGTGTGCGTATTTATGTGTGTGTATAATTAATCAAATCTCATTTTTCTTATTTTATTTTATGCCAGTGGTTTTTCAGATGAAAAGGCCATATACCTATTTTACAGCTGTGTTACAACACATGCCCTGTAGTGATCCATACAGTCTGGATTCAACAAATTAGGAGGTGTATATTTCTCTTTTATTTTTCTCTTGACAGTTTGTTTCTTTCTTTTTTTGGTTTGTTTTTTGCTTTCTCTAGAAATTTCAACAGATTTTTATTGCTTGGAAAAAGGATTACATAATTAATATTTTTTGTGTGTAACTTACATTTTAATCTTTGAAAGAGAATGTGACAGTTGATTAAAGAACATAATTAATTATAAACCTTCCTATTGCCAGGTGGCACAGACAAACAAAAACCAATTAACACTGCTGCCAGATTTAATTGGTATCTCATCTACACACTGCTTCACAATCCTACGGTATGTTGTAATTAGCGTCAGAAATACAGTTTAGAAACAATATGTGATAACAATATGTCACAGAGGATGATATGCAATGATCAAAGTAAAGCAAAATATTATTTTTACAATCGGTGTATATTTGTCCAGAAAGGCTAAGTAAAAAGAATATGCCTTAACAAGCAAGATATCTCGGTCAAAAGGCGCAAATGTCGGAGCTATGCTGTAAACAGAGCACTAAAGCCACATCAGTCTGACGAACGACGAAGATGAACAAGTAGATTTGTAAAAGTCGCAAATTTGACCCTGGCATTAGTAAAGTGGGAGTCGCTATGGCAGAGCGGCTAGACGCTCGCCGCGGATCGGAAGGTCGTGGGTTCGCTCCCTGGCGGAGCTGGACTTTTCTTCAAAAATGACCTTGGCTCCCAGGTCGACTTAGCCTTGAGTGGGTACCAGGTGCAGTGCTGGGAAGTAGAGGCGGCCGGCGTGATACTGACCACATCACCCATCTTGTGCCGTTGGTCTATTAAATATAGGTCTAACCCTATATGCCCTATGCGCCTAAGGGAGCGAAGAAGGGTCCATTACTTTTACTTTTATTTTTAATAGTAAAGTAAAACAAATGATACTGTTTCTACTACTAGTACGTCATGTACATGGAGTTATGGTACGTTTCAAAAATCGCGTCCTCACGATCGTAATGAATATTTCGAAAACTTCTGTATGAATCATTGTTGCATGTGGCCTTGGATTTTATATGTCCCTATGATCTTATAATTTACACTTGTAAATTGTTTCTACTATTGGCACGTCTTGTACATGGAGTTATGGTACGTTTCAAAAGTCGCTCCCTCACGATTGTAACAAATATTTCGAAAACTTGTGTATAGAACATTTTTGCATGTGGCCTTAGATTTTCTATGTCCTTATAATCTTATAATTTACACTTGTACAGCTGTTGCTGTTTTCTTAAAGCGGTAAATTTATTTTATTTTTGTTTGACTGATAGTTTGTAAACCTCTAAATAATATAATATACCGTAATTGACATCCGAATGGATATCGTTTAGAAATCAATTCACACGTTGCAATGATGTGTAGAGATTATTTTGATAGTCTATCCCGAAGACAGTGACAAATTGTGCTTTCCACTGGAGGGTAATGTTGGAAATGACCACCTGAAAGTGAAATGCTTATGAAACACATGCATTATTATGTTTTGAAATGTTCCTTTTTAAAATAGCTGTAAGCATGCTGATTGTTTGCTTTTATTTCTTCTAAATATACCGCAAATAAGGCATAATGATAACTAATTTTTTGTTCACATGTTTGAAACAAAATAAAAAAATATAAGTACATGATTATTAACAGGTAGCAGACCAAATTTCAACAGCCCACACCTAACAGGAGATCAGCTACAAGAGCAAGAGGACAGACGCAGAAATAATAGATCGACAACATTAAAGACACTCTACGCCTGTACGGCATGACAATAGCCAGTGGCAGCCAGCGTGCACTGCATCACAAATTATTCCTCCTTACGGCCCTTAGCGGAAGAATGGGTTTATGATAATGATGATGATGATGACACTTAACAGTGATCAATTACAGATCTAAATGTTCGGCTCAACATCTGGAACGGACTATAGATCTCTATTGGTATAGACTCGCCGGCACTCAGTGGTTATGTAGTCAGCGTCAACCTGGCCAACGATTTTTGCCAGGGTTGACCTGAGAGCTATCTCTGCGAAGAATACTTGGCATTAAGTGGCAAAAAAAAAAAAAATATTACAAACATTGAGGTATTGAAAAGAGCAGGTATCACAACAGTCTTCTCAATGCTCAGTCTCTTGACGCTCAGGTGGTTGGGTCACATTTGGAGAATGGAGCCGGGAATGCAGAGACTGGCCAGCAGGTGCCACAGAGGTGGAAATTCAGCCATTAATTCAAGATAATGCTCGCTCAGAGGATTTGATCATTTACACAGACGGTTCAGTGTCAAGAGCCCAAAGAAGTGCTTGGGGCTTCTTAGCAAAAGTTAATGGTCGACGTTTGGTGCAGGCGAGCCTAGCATATGATACCACAACATCCAGTTTAAGAATGGAGGTGGAGGCGGTCACTGCAGCTTTCCGCTGGCTAAAGAACACGACACACACACACACACACACATCGTGATTGTAACTGATTCAGAAAGCATGCTGAGGAAGATCAGAACAGGTATGCTTCGTGCAGAGTGGCATGCTTCACCGCAGAGGACATGGGTGAGGAGTATTGTCTGGATTTTTTTTATCGGGGCACGCCAGTGTGTTGTGAAATAAACAGACGGACAGACTGGCTGGCTCTGCACAACTTGGTGGAAAACTGATACATGATAATGCAGACGTGGTTAGTGCCTTGTGGGAGAGCGTGTACAGATCGGGGGAGCAGATGGATCACCACAGTCTGGTGAGATTGATGCAGCGGGGAGTGACGAGAGGTTCTGGCAGATACTCGAGGCTCAGAGGAAAGGCAAGACGGACGTTTAATCAGAATGGTACTGGCACAATTAGTATAGGAACTCTTCGCTGGCTGCTGAAGATGGGGACAGAGCGCTTATAGGAATGCCCCGAGTGCTGTGATGTCGGTTCTTAAATCAAATCAAATAAAATAATGGAGAATGGAGGAAGGCAGAGTTAATACTGAACTGTAAAAGTAGCTAGATAGTCTTTCCTCTTGAGCCTAGTGGGGCATACAGGGCATAGGGCATAGCGCTCCATGTCTGGCGCTTCATTGCCGCCTGTTTTAGGTCTTGGATCTTCATTAGGGCCATGGTTGAGATTTCCCTGATGATGGTTCTTCTGCGCAAGGGTCTCTCTTTGTCTTCGCCGTTTTCCTTTCCTGTGTCGATATGAGGACTTGATAGGGGAGGAGTCTGGTAGAACAAAGATTAAATCGTTTGGCCATTTAACACGATTGGGAAAAGACAGGACACCCTTGAAAGCAATGGTATACAGATACAGTGGTAACAGACCAGAGGTAGATCACGCAGAACATGTACCACAGAAATATCGGAGACACTGATAAGTATTACATACAGAGAACAGAAGGACCCAAACCGTAGATCTAATTTTGCCCTGACGCTGCGAAGCATCCCAGAAGTAGAGAAAAGAAGAAGAGTCTACAAGGACATTCTCTGTGGCGAATTACAGATGGGTACGAGATTTCGAGGTCATCATCTGCTATAATACAAAGAATTTCTCAAGCGAGACATGAATGATACATGTATTGAGGTAGATTGGTGGGAACAAAATGCAATGAACCACATTGGGAATTAGGGAGGGAAAAAAAAAAAACAAATTCTTCAGAGAGGTTGAGAGCTGAGCGTCTGAGAAGAAGCAGACTTAATACACGCAGTAGCAACAACGGTCCTAAAATCTCATGCTCTAATGTGTGGTAGACTTTTCTTAACGCCGGCGGGGCCTTGATAGTTACCTTCGCCATCTGTGATTTCCATTCATTCCCAAAGGAAAATATAGCACTACCATCTGGTCCCCGTGTGGGTTCCGAAGCCCCATGGTGGAGACAACACGAATAGACACACTGCCTGACCAAGAGCATGTCGTAGGAGTTGACTGATTGAGAGCCTCCCTCGAAGGCAGAGTTCATCTGCCAGAGAGGCAAGGAACCTACAGTCCACATGCATATGAGTCAGACCTGTGAAACGAATGTGCACACAACACTCAGTTTCTGGAATAGGACAAGAGTCCAGAAGTGGACATACAACCAGAACTTTCCACCTGATTTTACAGCCGGTGAACGCGAAGAAGAAGAAGAAGGAGAAGAAGAAGAAGAAGAAGAAGAAGAAGAAGAAGAAGAAGAAGAAGAAGAAGAAGATGATGAAGAAGAAGAAGAAGAAGAAGAAGAAGAAGAAGAAGAAGAAGATGATGATGAAGAAGAAGAAGAAGAAGAAGAAGAAAGGACTACCATCTAGGCTAGGGCATCGTCAACAACCTCGGCTTGCTATTAAAAAAATCAGTGTAGATTCAAACCCAAGAGCTTAAGTTTGCTAGCAAGCATTTTGTCACAGCAAAAATGTAGTTCCCGATCAGTTTGCATTACTAATGTCACTTATGCTAAATAAATGGTTCAAAGAGGCTGGATATCATTACACCAGTGCAGCCGCAAACCACAGAGCTGGGAAGCAGAAATGGTTGGGAGAAGCAAAGGGTGTTGTTGCTGCTGAATATAACCAAATGATATAAAATAAAAACAGCTCTGATCCTATAATTTACTTGTCTAAGAAAACAAACATAGTCTAAAGTCAAGTGATAGCGATAATAACAGAGACAAAGAAGTGCTGGATAGTGCATGAAAAGCACCGACGTAGCAGACTACACGAGAACTGCGCCCGAAACATCATCTGCTGAACACTTTGGTATTAATGTTGGTTCTCTTTCAGTTTAACTGGGGATCCGCCGTGGTCTAGTGGCTAGACGCTCGCCTGCGGATCAGAAGGTTGTGGATTCGGATCCTGCCAGGGTCATGACATTTTACCAAAATGACTTTGGCTTCCAGGTCGACCCAGGCTTGAATGGGTACCAGATACATTTCTGTGAAGTAAAGGCGGCCGGCGTGATGCTGACCACATCACCCACCAAGTGCCGTTTGGTCTATATAGCTTATAGGTCTAGCCCTGTGTATACAATACGCCTGAAGGTGCAGAATAGATTCCTTCACTGTTCTTTTCAGTTTTATTAGCCAGGGTATTATACAGATGTTTGTCGTTACTGTTCGTCTTGCAGGGAATGTTAACTCATGTCTAGGGGAGACTGTACACAGAAAGTAAAGTAAAGAACGCCTTTCCACGCCTTTATGCGTATAGGGCATATAGGGCTAGACCGATATTTTATAGACCAATCGGCACAAGATGGGTGATGTGGTCAGTATCACGCTGGCCGCCTTTACTTTCCGGGACTGCACCAGTACCCACTCAAGGCCGGGTCGATCTGGGAGCCAATGTAATTTTTGAAAAAAGTCCGGCTTCACCAGGAAGCCACCCCACTACCTTCCGATCTGCGGCGAGCGTCTAGTCGATCCGCCACGGCGACTTCCTGTACACAGAAAGATCATGTACAAAGTGTCATTACACAGAGAGCTGCTTGACATAGTATCCTTACCACCCTTTAGCTCAACTCTTAGGTGGAGACAGGTGTGCTTCATGGAGATTAGCAAGCATCTCTTCAGAAGTCCCAGGTAGTTAGCGTCCTGTTTATTTACTCCATATGCCGGTGTTGTGGAAAACAAACAGTCAGATAGCCTGACTGATTTTGCATTACTTAGTCGTGATTTGACGCATGATCAAGCCAGACGTTGTGAGGGCCCTTTGGGAGTGAGTCAGCAGTGCGGAGGCAAAATAGATCATCACTGTCCGAAGAGGTTGGTGCTGCGAAGAATGACCAGTGGATGTTGTCGAAGCACAACAGTCAAGAGAAAAGCAAGACGGATAGATCATCAGACTGTTACTGGTGTCATCAGAATTTGAACTTTGCACTTGCTGCTGAAGACAGGATGGAGCGCTTATGGGAATTTCCCGGGTTCTGTGATTTCAATTTCTTAATTTAACATAGCTGAAGCTCTTAAAGTCATCATGGTATATAGTTAAATGGATTCTTGATTATTTTACACGCATTTATTGTTTGTTCTACAGGTGAGAATCTACAGAAAAGGTTTCATCCAGGCGATCAAGAAGGCAAGAAAAGAGGGCCTAAAAATTCCAATCAGCGACAAGCCAATCACAGACTTTGAACTAGCCAAAGCTCAAGAAAATCAGGACAGACAGAAAGAGGAAGAGACAAAGAAGAATTCAAGAAGTGGGCAGCATGGATTGGTTGCCATAGGGACAACATTTGAGGGTACTATTGATAGTGACGTTAAATACAATTTCGGTGAAGAGAAATGCTGACAATAATGAAAAAAAATATAGACAATATAAATAAAAGTCAGGAATCTGACTGATCTCAGCAATAATTCTGAAGTGCGCTTTTCCGACGCGGATCGGAAGGTCGTGGGTTCGCTCCCTGGCGAAGCCGGACTATTTTCAAAAATGACCTAGGCTCCCAGGTCGACCGAGCCTTGAGTGGGTACTGGGTGCAGTCCCAGGAAGTAAAGGTGACCGGCGTGATGCTCACCACATCACCCATCCTGTGCCGATTGGTCTATAAAATATAGGTCTAGCCCTATATGCCCTATACGCTTAAAGGCGTGGAAAATGGTTCTTTACTTTACATTTAAAATACATTTAAACTGTGAGGCATATTCCAAAATCAGCCTTCGATTCGACACAAATAAATTTTAAGACAACTATATTTCTGTTGCTTTTATTCTACTCGTTATTCCCTTATGGTGTATAGCCCTTACTCAGTTTGTACAAAAAGCTATTCTTTGCTAGTTTTTGTAAAAAAAAAAAAAAAAAATCTTATGAAATTCAGAAGATACATACATTCTTTACTCCATCACTGCTTAACAGTGATAGGCAATATCAAGTAGTTTAACCATTGTGCGGCGTCCGTGGCTTAGGCGTTGCGAGTCCGACTCGTAATCCAACGTACCGCGATCGAAACCAACTGCTGGCTGCCTGGATTTTTATCATGGTATGGGGCGTCGCAGGTCGACCCATCCTTAAAATGGGTACCAGGATGGGTTGTCCTGGGAAAGTAAAGACAGCCGGCGTAATGTAATACTGACCACATTACCCACCGAGTCTGTAAAAATTTGGGTTGCTCTTCCCATATGCCCGATACGCCTAAAGGCGTGGAAAGGGATCTTTACTTTTTTTTTTTTACCTACTTACTTAACCACTGTGTCTATTCAGTAAAATGACAGACAATATTTCAGTGCTGTCCCTTGTACAGCCCATTAAGAGGGAAAATGCTTTGATAAAAGTAAAAAGTAAATGACTTTTTTTCCACGCCTTTCAGGTATATAAGGCTAGATTATAAAGACCAAACGGTACTTGGTGGGTGATGTGGTCAGCATCAAGCCGACTGCCTTTACTTCCCATGACATTACCTGGTACCCACTCAAGGCTGGGAGCCAAAGTCATTTAAAAAAAAAAAGCCCAGCCCGGTGAGGAAACCGAACTCATGACCTTCTGATCCGCAGGCGAGCATCTTACCGCTACACTACGGCGGCTCCCACAAGTCTATGGTGCGTTTACCAATGAATGCTGCTGTATGTTTGATAATTTCTCGGTAATTACTTATCTTGGGAACGTTAATTTTTGCATGCGCTCCTACAGACGACGGTAATATTTTATACATCAATAATATACAGACCACCTTGTTGTATCAAAACATTCGTTTCCTTTATTATTTTTATCCTTTGTATAATTTTAGTTATGTAACAAAAAAATGTTTACAGTACCGACGTGAAATGTGAGTGTGATAGAAGTCAGAGGCGTGTCTGCAATTGTTTTTCCACGAGGACTTAAGTCCCTACCAATTTACATACATGATTAGCATATATTGTGTGTGTTTAAAAAAAATTTACGGCGGTGCGTTTCCTGGCGTCAGTGTTTCTATTAAATTAAATAATAGCTTGTAACTTGCACCAAAGGTAAAAATACATAATAATTATTGACCGTTTTGCTTTTGATGTTCAAATGCAGATTCAGATGAGTCAAAGACGTCGATGAAAGCTGTCGGCTGAATGAAGCGCAAACCATCTTTCTGCCTATTATCTTCTTCTACCTTTATTATATAATCTTCACATTTGATCCACAACTGTTTGCCAATGTCCGAGATAGTGCCATATGCAATTTTCTTTACATTCAATAGTTTGTAAGTTAGTGTTGTCACTTGTTACCTTTTCCCCAACCTTTGCCCAAATGAATTCTATACTATTTAAATGTGAATAGTAAGGTGGCTCAAATAACCATGCTCCTTAATTATTTTGTCAGCCTGGAAAGTCTTTGTCCAGTGTGTATTCATTACAACTAACATCAAGTCAGCCTTTAAGTGCATGTCGGATTTGTATCTCCTCTTTAGTCCATGCAGATGTCGGGTCGTCTTCTTCTTCTTCTTCGCATTCACCAGCTGTACACTCTGGTGGAAGTTCTGGTTAATCGTCCACTTCTGAACAACTGCGGTCCTGCTCCAGAACCTGAGTGTTGCGCGTGCATCAGTTTTACAGATCTGATTCACTTGAATGCAGACTGTTGGTTCCTTGCCTCTCAGGCAGATGCACTCCGACTTCAAAGAAAGCTCCCCAATCAGTCGACTCTTACGACATGCTTTTGGGTAGGCAGAGGGTCTTGTTTTCCCCATGATGGGGGCCCGGAACCCACACGGGGAATGTCGGGTCGTTATCTTCAAGTGCTACTGCGGTATGGTAGAAAGCATTATCTATAACTTAACTGGAGGGTCTATCTAATGACAGAGTTACAGTTCGCTCAATTCACTGTCTAAATAAGTTGCCATTCATCTGTCGTTAGATTTGGATTTTGTTTTTTGTAGACTGCGCCCCCTTAAGAATATGACAAGGTTTCCGTGACCCCTTGAATGTATGGCGAGACACTCACGCCCCCCTCCCCTTTCCCCTTTTCCCTCCACTTGAGTATAGGGGAAGAACCCCACGCTCCCTCCTGACACATAAACAAATGTGATTACACATAGGAGGACAATTGATTTCGCAACAAGAGAAACAGACAGTATGAAGATACGTTTTTGGTCACAATGTGTTCTTAGTTTGTAATTGAATACCCATGTTACCATATAAAGTAGTTTTTTTAAACTGTAGATATACAAACTGCGGAATATTAAAAATACAAATATCCTCAATTTCAAAATCGCTTGACCCCCCCCCCCCTTTTTTTTTAAACGACCTCACCCATCCCCCCCCCCACTTTTTCATCCTCAGTGGGCGCGCCTCCTAGGTAGGAGACCACTGCTCTAGTATTTGACTTCTGCAGGCTGCAGTGTTCTTCAAACCGCGGGCAGCAGAAAAGTCCCTGTGGGCCGCCACATAATTCTGCTTAGTTATGCAGCCAGGCAGAGGTGGTGTTTGTCCACCTCAGGGACTTCTTGTTTGTAGGGAAAAGACTTTCTCAGACATTTCAGTAATGTAAACCAAACAGAAAGATATAATGGATGTTATCGCAGAGCTTCGTACATTAGAAACAACGTTCCATCCGCACATGTCAAATGTGTCACCTGTGGGCTGCATTAGATCTCACTTCTTCTTTTCTTTACTTCCGGAATGCCTTGCGGCGTCAAGACAGGAAGGAATCTCTGGAACGGGCCCTTCTGGATCCTTCGAATATCAGTGTCTCTAATACTTCTGCGGCCCATCTTCTGCTTGGTCGACCTGTGGATCTGTTCCGTTGTATCTGAAAAAACATCGCTCTCTGTGCTTTCCTGACTGTTGAATATTTTGTTAAAATCATTGTTAGACCTCACAGTAGCTGAAATTTGTAATTTTGTGACATTAGATTTGACAAATAAATTGTCATCTACATTTTCTTTTTTTTTAATTACATGTTCGGTTAACTGTCAGGTGGGTCGCGGAACAATTTCCACTGCTTTGATGGGCCATGGGAGTAAAAATGTTGAGAAACACTGATTTAGAGAATATAACCACAGCTTGTACCGCTTCATCACTTTTACATTCAAAAACTGTCTTGAATTTTCTTGTTTTTATGTTAATAAAACTGTCTAAGATTCGTATCGATATATTGACACACAAAATTTGGCTATAATTCCTATCCCAAAATATCTGGATCTGAAGGTTTGAGATTATGGGTAAAACACAGTCCTGACTGCTGGAAGCAATACATCACGCTTTTAAGAGAATCAGTTTATTTATACATTTCCGTCTAATTTAGAAACAGCGCTTGCATTTTGAGTATAAAAAAGAACTTTAAATGTATTACAACAATGCAGAACAAATGAATGAATGAGTGAATGAATGAATGAATGAATGAATGAATGAATGAATGAATGAATGAATAAATGAATGAATCAAGGCTTAACATCACTACACTGAGGACATTCCCACATGTGCACTGTCCCACTGAGGACACTCCCACATGTGCGCTGTCCCACTGAGGATACTCCCACATGTGCGCTGTCCCACTGAGGATACTCCCACATGTGCACTGTCCCACTGAGGATACTCCCACATGTGCACTGTCCCACTGAGGATACTCCCACATGTGCACTGTCCCACTGAGGATACTCCCACATGTGCACTGTCCCACTGAGGATACTCTCACATGTGCACTGTCTCCTTCTTCATCTAAGGTCCGAGGAAAATATCGCTTAGGGGAGCTACCAGGGGATCTGGCCGACGCCTAACACTCAAAGGAAAAGGCAAGACGGGAGTACAATGAAAGTTACTGGTACCATCGGATTTGGAACTCTTCACTCGCTGCTGAAGAAAACAATATGTGGCTTTTTTTGTCATGGTATAATGGAGTGTCAGCACAAGAACTTATACATGCTGTTGAAGATCGCAGGTTACTGAGAGGGGTAATCGCTCATGCCAGTCGACAAGGCATTTGATGATGATTAAAACACAATAATGCTTTTTGTTAGATTTGTTGTTTAACTTAGAGCAGCTTCCTGAACATTACACCTCCCAGTTTTTGCTTCTACCTTATTTGTGCCTTTAGTATGTAATTATGCAAAGCTGCTTTTGACCGTTTTGATTTTTTCAAATATCTGCTTTTATATTTACTGTTGCGCTGCTTTGTCTATTGACAAAACAAGACATTTATTATTACATTGTTCTTGAAATTTTTATTATTTTTTTAAACTCCGAGCCGTTCCCATGGATATCCCAAGGAATCGATTCCACTTTACTCACTGAATTCTTGACAAGTTAGGATGACATAGAAGAGATTTGGGATCCCACTACATATTCTCAAAGACAGCAGCGGGTACACTACAACCAACCTTCATTATG